GCCCACTTATCTTTTCCTTGCTTTGTATCTTCCACAGTATAACCTCAGCATTGATTATCCCCCATTGAGATCAGGTTCAGTTTAAGACCTGTTTACATCTTGGATATCTGACTATGAAGACATTCTTTGCGTGTTAGTCAGAGCTGATAATTTTTCAACAAACTGGGGATGGGTTTGCCACACTTGGATGGTCACATCTTTACTTATTAAACCCTGATATGCACAAATCTATTGCCCGGGAATACAGACCCTTCACTTCTCCATTCACCATAAGCCAAAATTGAACTGGGAAGTCTCTAATGGCCCATAGTTTGCCATTCCATCCTGACCAGGAAACCACAGTTACAAGCTCTAAAACAAGCCAGGATCCAAAGTGTGATTTAAATGCACTGGCTTGTTCTGAAGTGAACAACCAGGATTTCCTGGTTGAAACACAAGAAGAAACTACATGCTCTTCCAGATAGGGCTTCTCGTGTGCTCTCTGCTTGCCTCATTTGTAGGACCATATGGACTGCCCCGTGACAATTTCTGCCTCCTTGGGTTTTCCCATGGCACTCCCTACCACACCTTCTCCCATGTTTTCTTACAGCAGAGAAATGCATCATTTTTTCTGGCATGCCACTATCCACACAAAACTGCCTGGTTTGGGGAGCGTGTGATCTTTCATGGAGATGGAGCTGTGGGGAGTAGAGTGATGTTGCCGCGGACATGTTCTTCTGGCCCCGGCAGCCTCATTTGCCCGTCTCCCAGGAAGCTTCCACTGGTTTCTTCCGGGAAGCTAGTTAGATCTTCTCTCTCAGTGTTGCTGTGGCTGGAGTAAATATTGCTTGCTTCCCATACCACGGCACACACACACTCAGAGCCCGTCTGTCAGGAATAGCAAAACAGAAAATAAAAGAGGATGAGGCAACTGTGAGAGGCTGGGAAGTAACAGCAGTGTGGAGTTTTCAGTTTGTTTCTTGCCCCGAAGGTGTGTAATTCCAGAAGGCCAAGGTTTACAGCTGTGGCTTCCATCATACTTCCTACATTAATGTTTAGAAATCATGCAGCTGAGACTTGTCTTGCACATGTCCAGGGAAGAAAGAAAAAGCAGACAGAACATAGCAGGAGGAAGCAGTGAAGGGATGGGAGGGCTTTGGTTATGTTAGTCATAGTTGGTGTGAAGAGAAGGTAGCAGCAGTTTTGCCTTGGCAGTGGGGAGAACCCACAACAATTCTGCTTGCCCTTGACAACAGAAGATCAATGATTGGGATTGCTATGAGACCTCCATCTGGCAGAGCCCTGTGTCCTCTTAGGCGTCCTGGACTTATTGCAACATATCCCAAGGGAATCTTTGGGTGAGCAAAAGGCTTGCGCAAATCCCACCTTAATTCACAAATATGTATCATTGACCACATCAAAGTCATCAGGACATTTCCCCTTGCTCCTACAGAGATTCTATTTTTCATAACTTTGGTGTTTCTTACCAGAAGTAGCTAAATATGTTTTCATTATTTCCTTAGGCACTGCTAGCTTAGAAACAGGTAAGAGGTCTTCAGTATATCAGAATCATTTCAGAACTGTGGGAGACAAAAAGAACCAGAAAATTCAGAGATGAAACTGTGGTACACCCTTGCATAAGATGGAAAGTGGATTCACATGTCATGGTGACTCCTGCTTACTTACCATGGATTTTTCACCCTCGTATTCCTTCCTTCTGCAGTTATCCCAGAGTATTCTACAGCAGGCTTAGCTGTTCTCCACCAGCACCATGACCACACTATATATGTCTCTGCCATTTTTCAATTACCCCATTTAAAAGGGAGCCTGGGGTTTTTTTAAATACTTGTTTATTTTACTAACAGCAAAGTCATAAAAGAAAAACAGAAGAAATTAGAAACAGAAGTAAAAAGAAACACCAACGGTTCTTAAACAAATGTTACACAGAATATCAAGCATTTAAGCATTTAAAAATAATCTCTGTAAGTCAATAATTACGATGCTTCTATTCAGTCACATTTTTGAACAGTTGAAATTCATTACAGATTCTTCTAATCCCTAACAATTTTCTCAAAAATCCTATCCCCTTTATCCTATATTTTCCTTGGTTATTATTCTTATTAAAAAGAAGTTGCATGTAATATAATGTCCACTTATAAATTTATTTGACTCATTATCTTTCTATATGGTTTGTCTTATCATTACTTAGTAGCTGTCAAAAGTTATTTCCCCAAAAAGGGGATAGGATGAGCTTTTGCACTTTCAAAGCAGCCACAATTTCAGGTAGAGGTGAAAAATGTACACAACCCTAAGGAAAAAAAGGGGGAAAGATGGGGATATTTATTTATTTATTATTTAAGATATTTTAATGCTGTCCTTTGTGAGAGCCTCAGGATGGCATACACAAATAAAATACCTATACATAAAAGTACAACATAAATAAACAACCCACTTTGGCTGCAATTAAAATATGGTAATAAAATTCAATATAAAAACTCGTTAAGATATTGATTTAATAAAAAGGTCTTAACCTGGCGCCAAAAAACATATAATGATGGTGCCAGGCAGACCTCTCTGGGGAGCACATTCCATAGACGGGGCACCACCGCAGAGAAGGCCCTCCTCCGGGTACTCTGTCTCCTAATATCTTTCACAGAGGGTTCCCGGCGGAGGGCTTCTGCTGCCGATTTCCACATTTCCATGAAGATAGATGTAAATTGTACCACCTGCTTTTCATAAACAAAGCTCTCTCATGACTTTGCTTTCCTTTTGACAGCTGTTAAGAGAAAATAGAGTAAAGAAAAATTATACTTGGAGCTTCTTTTGGTCACAGCCCATGATTGGTACTGCTGTATTTTGACAGCAAAGGTTCCCATATTTGCACCTGTGAAACAGGACACCTGGGCTGTGTATGTCCTAGCTAGTTAAATCACAGTTTTTGACAGAGCTAATCAAGATCTGTTGGATTCTTTATTTGTCTGGTGGGGAGTGTTTTTGTTTTAGATGAGGGCATATGTGCATGTCCCTGTGGGGGAAAAAATCCTGATTAGGCCTGTCAAAAATCCTAGTTTAAAAAGAAGTCTGAATTTTGAAAGCTGTCAAAGCTTTTTGCCCCCATAAATGGGGTGGTTCTCACACTTCCACCTAGAATCTGAGAAATACATGAAAAAATTGGAAGATACTGAAAAGCGTAAGGTTCAGCCAAAAATAGTAGAGGATCTCCCCATGATGGATATGACCTATTGACCATTCCATTTCATGAGCAAAGATCACTTGTACCATTGCTTTTATTTGACAGCTCAACTTTTGGCAGGAAAACAAAAGAAAAAATAAAATTCTTTACAGACTTTGTGGGTTAGGGTCAAGGCCCTTGCTGGATGCCCACTCAGCATTAGCAGCAGGTACCAGCAAGGAAGTTACCCAGGTGAGGCTGCCCATTTCTGCCCACTGAATGTATGAATTTACCTAAGTGCACACACAGTTTCAAGCAAATTCAAACGAAGCGAGTTTGAAATTTAGTGTTACAAGAGTTCAGTTTTGGGAGCCTTGGAAATCAAGAATCAACCCTCTTATTTCTTCTCCTTCCCCCACAGAGTGCGGAAAGCCAGTGATACAATCTCCACGAATTGTTGGGGGTCAGCCAGCCTCCAATGGCTCATGGCCCTGGCAAGTCAGCATTCTTCAAGACAATAGGTTTATCTGTGGAGGTTCCCTCATTGCTGACCAGTGGGTACTTTCAGCAGCTCACTGCTTCTTTGGGTAAGCATTGCACATCTGTTGCTGTGAAGCCAGAAAAAAAATTCACCGCAAAGGCAGCTGCAAGACCAGGCTAATATTCTAGGCCTAACGACCAGCCACTTGGTTTCTTAATCTTGGGAACCAGGATCAGAGAGGACAAGGAAGGGTCTTCAGAAGGGGAGAAGCAGGTGGCTTGCAGAGGGGAGAAGGAAGTCTGCAGTCTGCCAAAGCCAGGAAGAGGCAGGACTGCAAAAACAAGCAGTTAGTTGTTTGACTGGTCAGTCAATAGGGATGGACAGTGCAAGAAATACCTCAAACTGAAAAGCCAAAGTTAGCAGCTTTATAAGAACGCTCTTGGTCTCATGAGTCACATGATATCTTCTGGGTTGGTCACACCATATCTGAGCTGGTGTAACCAAATGGCAAGAATGGGGGAGAGAGGGGAGGCAAGATATTCAGCAGCTCCATATTCTGGTAGCAAAAAAGGAACGCCATGATTGATGGTCTTGAAAGCCATCAGGAGGTCCAGGAGAATTAGTAAGGCCCACCCATCCAGTTCTTAGCATAGGTTGCCCACCCAAGCAGCCAAAGCACTCTCAGTCCTACATCCTGGCTGAAATTCCAAATGAAATGGGTCAAAATATTCTCTATCATCTCTTTGAGTTCGGAGTTGCAAGGTCATCACCTTCTTGATCACCTTGGCCAAAATGGAATATCTCAGGCTGGTCTGTTGCTTTCAGGTTCTGCTGAGTCCCAAGGGAAGCTGTGTAATAATAAATATAACAACAACAAAATAATGGTACCTTCTCCTCTTCAGCCACCTTATCTACCACTTTATTTGTATATTATATTTACATCCCACCTTTTTCTCCCAAGGATCCTCCCTTGAGATGCACTAGCTTTTGAAATACATCTATGCGAGTTTAGACCAAAAAAGGGGCTACAACCCCACCTCTTGTTGCAAGAACTTTTAAAATACTTTCCAGGCACAGCTGGCTAGGGCATGCTGAAGGTGGTAAGCCTTTTTTCTGTCCAAACTTGCATAGGGTTGTGCAGCTCTCTACTCCAGTTACACACTGGCCGCATTACACAATTCAGTGAAGCCAATGTTACAGCAACACAATTGTTCCACCAGGTCAGAACTCCCCCAGTACAACAGCAATGGTGTTTGACTTGGCTCGCTGTCTGCCATTCGCCCCTTCCTGTCCCTGCTAGAGCAAATATGTGCTCTGGTACCATGTCTACCAGCAGATCAGGGCTGCGTCCCCCTCACTACCACCCCAGTGTAACTGGGACACAAAGCTTCATGGATCCTCAAGGTATCCAAACCATCAGTGGAACAGGGCCCAAAGTCTTAGCATCTTGCTGAAAAGCAGCACTCATCTTTGCTCATTCCTGTTGCAGTTTGTCCTTGTTTTTGCAGACGTACAGCCATCAACCAATACAAGGTCCTGCTGGGGGCCTACCAGCTCTTGAACCTCATAAATACAGTGGTCGTCTCTGGCGTAAGACAGATAATCCTCCATCCTGACTACACGAACAGTATCGACTCCAGTGGGGATATAGCTTTGCTGAAACTGAACACTCCTGTGCAGTTCACGAACTTTATCCTGCCCATCTGCCTACCAGCCTCTTCTGTGCGATTTTCTCCAAATGCAGACTGCTGGGTCACAGGATGGGGAGATATTCAAACAAAAGGTGAGGAATGCTTTTTGAGTGCTCATTCCAGCTCACACCATCCACGTCATGGGCCACAAACAGAAGCAACGCCCTTTCCCGAAGATCTTACATAGTCAAGGTTGTCACATGGAGCCAAGAGAATCATGGACGAGACCAAGATAACACCTGTGATGGGTCTGAGCAAATCCAGTTACACCCAGCCATACTCATTGAATCTGGGCTGCAGCAGGGGTCAGACCCACCACAGGGATGCCGCATGAAATGGTCCCCCTGTGATGATAGGTCTCCAGGCTGGGCATGATGTTTGAAGACATCACCATTCTGAATGAGTCCTTTGAGTCTCCACAAGAGATGCTTCTGATGTTCTCTCAGACCAGACTTGGAAACTAAAGGGGCTTCCTACAAAAAACCCTCAAAGCAGAAGTAGCAGTGCTTGCTCAAAGTTTGGGAGGCTGTTATGGATTAGCAAAGACAATCTATGGGTGAGTGACATCTTTCTGAGTCCCAAGTTCTGAATCGGGGGGAAAATACATTCACCCATCTGTGGTGTCCACAGCTCCTCATGCTCACTGGCTGCTTGGGCCAGGGAGAGGCATAAGAATTGACCATGATGGTGTAAATCATGAGGACTATTCAGCTTTAATTGAATAATAGGTGGCTAGTGGGCAACCACCATTGCTAGCCCACAAAAATGCTGTAACTGATCTTGGGAGTGTCTGCCAAAGGCTTTCCTCCTCCCTGTTGTGTCTGTGAGCCCTCTGAAGAGAAGATCATGAAAGCAGGCTGTGGAAGCCTTGGGCAAGTGCACACTTTATATTCCCTGCCTGAAACTACTCTGTTTGCACAAATAGGAGTGAAAAACAGGAGATCCCAGGGTAGGCACCAGCTGGTGGGGGGAGGGCAAAACCAGGGGTCCCTCACCATCTGCAATGCCTCCCACAGGTTTCAGGTGAGTAGTTTCCAGCTGTCTCCACCTGCTTTGCATAGACCTGTCAAATCACAGAATAGTAGAACTGGAAGGGGCCAAGAAGGCCATGGTGTCTAACTCCTGCTCAGTGCAGGTTAGGGCAACCCTGAATGCCTCCAGTGTGGGAGAGCCCACAACATCCCCAGGGAATTGGCTCCATTGTCAAATGCTCTTAAGAGGCAGGCAGTTCTTCCTGATGAGCAGCCAGAATCTGGCTTCCTGTAACTTGAGCCTGTTATTCCCCGTCCTGCTCTTTGAGATGATGGAGAGGAGATCCTGGCCTTCTCCTGTGTGACAAGCCTTCAAGCACTGGGAGGATGCTATCACGCCATGTAAGAATGTGCTTTGTGGAAAGTGGGCAGGAATTGCAGCAACATGAGGAAGGGCTTCATTTGGCATGTGTCAGATGTGCCTAGTCCCTATGCTGGGATGCCCCCAAAGTTTTGCCATTCCCCAGGCTGCTAGGAGTTGGATGACAAAATGAACAAGGCACTTGGGATTGTAAGCCCCCCACAGAAATCTCCAGGGATGCTTCTAAGCAGGGGGCAAAAGGTCTCCCCAGCACTCTTTTTGGATTGATCCTTGGTTTTCTTTAGGGGAAAAGTCCCTTTGCACACTTGGAAAAGTGGGGGGAGCTCAGCCCCTCATGATCTCCTCATCTAAACAGTGATGTTTCCACTGCTAAAGGTGTATCCCACACGGTTTTTTTCAAGTGCCTTGAACTGAAGTTTGCAAGGTGCTACAATGTTCTTTTTGGGAATGTAGGTTTTGTAACTCCCAAAAGTGCGCAGTCCAAAACGCAACACTGAGGCCCTGCCTTCTCTCCCTGGGATTTCCAGCCAGGTTCGCAGCTAGCGGCTGGGAGGGGGGCTTGCAAAACTGAGGGCAATGAGGGTCACCAGAGCTCCCCCAAACACCAAAGTCTCACACTGCAGAGAGGGTGGAAAGAGCCCTTTCCCATTTGTGCAAACACAGCAGTTTGGGCAAAGAAAATCTAAGTCCTATGTTTATTTGTGCAGATCACCCCAGTTAAAAAAAATGAAGAGAGGGGTGCATGGTTAGCCCTTCCAAGCTCTTGCTGGGAGTCTGTGTAGGTGCATGTGTTGGGTGCCCACGTTGGGATTGCAAAGCAGGGTTGACAGCCTGCTTTCACAATCGCCAAAAAAACAAACAAACAAACCCTTGTTTTAAAAAATCAAGACATGCTAAGTCTGACAACTGCAGTGGAGGAGGAGGAAGACTTTGCCAGCCACTCCTAGCAAGCCCTGCCTTGGCACTTCATGCAAATCCAATAGTGCTCCATACAAATCCATTCTCCGCGTAATAATATAGCTTAGGGATATGAGAAGACTGGGAGCAGTCCAAGAACAGTTCCAAGAAGTTCTCATGCCCAAATGGTGCCTGTACCCAGAGCCTCCCTCCTCTGCGCTCTGTGACTGCGTGCCACCTCTTTCTCCTACAGTGAACCTGCCACCACCGCTAACCCTCCAGGAACTGAAGGTGCCACTGATCAGTCGAACTATATGCAACTATCTCTATAACCATTTCCCAGTTATAGACCTGCCCAGGAACCCTATCAAGCTTGACATGATCTGTGCCGGAAGCGTGGAAGGTGGGAAGGATTCCTGCCAGGTAGGTTCTTCCATAGCATGTTATCACACAGCCGTTGCTTGGGGCAGAGAGGTGTGCCACAGAACCTGTGGAACTGCCCTCACCTGGTCTTATTCCAGAATGACCTGAAGCAGGAGAAGACAGGGTCCCACACTGTCAAAAGCAGTACAGAAGAGGGAATGTTAGCAGGTGTGGCTTGTGAAACTGTTAAAGCTACAAGAGTCCTGGTAACTGGTAACTCTATTTTATTCATGACTAGCAAAGGTTCAAGGGATGCAGGTGGCACGGTGGGTTAAACTGTTGAGCCGCTGGGCTGCTGATCAGAAGGTGGGCAGTTCAAACTCAATGAGGTGAGCACCCACTGCTTCATCCCAGCTTCCACTTACCTAGCAATTTGAAAGCATGCAAATGCAAGTAGATAAATAGGTACCACTTCAGTAGGAAAGGTAACAATGTCCCATGTATCTCAGCATTTAGCCATGCCGGCCACATGACCATGGAAGCTTCTTTGGGCAACACTGGCTTTTCAGCTTACAAACAGAGATAAGCACAGCCCCAGAGTCGGGCATGACGAGCAGAGGAACCTTTACCTTTACCTTACCAAAGGTTCAGAAATGAAATCTCACGAGTAAAGTCATTCTCAGACTGCAAGCCACCTCCCATTCCTGAGAAGAGAATGGGCATTAAAATCAGTGGTGCCATAGAATTTATTTTGCATTTTTTCAAGCATTCTCAATAAGTTGATGGAAAAGACATTATTTTTGAAAATATGTTCAAGGAAAGAAAAGTGGTGCAATTCTTAGGGGTGTGGTGGGGGATTGCACTTACTTCAATTACAAGGTTGAGAGATGAGTGTCGATGTCCTGTCACTCCCTGGACAATGATTTCTTGGGTGATCTGCAGCCTCCCCAGCTTCCCATGCTTCACTTAGAGCCCACAAAGGGAGGTCATGTGGCAAATCCTCCCATAGGGCTTGTTTAAATCATGAAGTGTGGGCAGCCAGAAAGGCTGCAAGGGAACGGAAAGGAACAGAAAGCAAGCAGATCAGAGCATACTTGACCACCTCCCAAGGAGGTCTGCTCACTGACACCAGAAAAAATAATGCAGGGGGAATTCTGAAGCACTCGGACATTCAGGAAGGAAAGTAGAACGTTCTGTTCATGGGCAATTTGGGGTAATTGAAGGGTGGATCTTTGGGCTAGTTGGGAGATGGTATTTCATTTTTCAGGCTGTCCCATGCTTTAAAATGGAAATGAGAATTATAATACATAATAGGTTGCATTTAAGTCATACATCTTGTGGTTCTGTTAATTAGCAGGCAGAGGAATGTTGTCACCATCAAATCAGATCGGGGGGTGGGAGTCATAAGACTGTTTGGACACCCATCTCCAAGGATGGAAAACAGCTCTGATGTCCTGAGCATCCACACTGACATCCCCAAGTCACAACCAGCATGAAAAGAACCTTGTTGGCAGGGTCTCTAAGGTTGTACAAGTGACCTTGAGAAAGGGTAAAGGGTGTGCTCAGGGGGAAGGAAGGGAGGGGAAGAGAGGAGAACCGCCAAAGTAGGATGTAGCCTGGGGGAACCTCCGCCTAGTGCCTCAATGAGATAGCCAAAATCAGTCTTCAAGCTGATTTGCAGGATGGGATAGGAAGTAACCTGTAGGAATGTCTGCAGAATTGAATTCGATCCCCTGGCTGCGAGATGTTCAACATACCAGGTTTAAGCCATGTTCTACCTTCCATACCTGCTCATCATTTCAAAGAGAATGTCTGAGTTTTGCTCAAGTCATGTGCTATTTCTGTAATTTCTCTCCACAGGGAGACTCCGGGGGACCCCTGGTTTGCAATCTCCCAGAAGGTTGGACCCAGGCTGGCATTGTCAGCTGGGGCTTTGGGTGTGCCCAGCCCGGTCACCCTGGTGTCTACACTTTTGTGCCTTTCTATGCCGACTGGATCCAAAAGACGATGAACGGTGGATTGCAAAGTGCCCCTCTTGCAACACTCCTCTTGCTGCCTCTTGCACTGACCCTCCTGTGAGAGAGCCATCTCTCGCCTTCAGTCTTCCAGCTAACTGCATGGAAGATCATCTGGCAGGACATTCATACAGCTTAGCTTAAATATGTTCCAAATCACCACAGAATGCTGGTCAGGGCTTCGAAAATGCTCAGTCTGAGGAACCTCCTGGGTTTCCAAGCCAGCCCTGCAGAGATACCCAGAAAGCCATGCCTCCAAGCCAGTACCCCTACAGCCTAGGAGGCCACCTGCCACTGGCCACACTCCCACCAGCAGCAGCAGGCTGCGAATTGCATCCAAAGCTGCTTTCCCCCAAAAAGTACCTGATTGGGCCCCTCTCCTGCGTCAGCTTGGAGCTGCTGAAGGGAAGGTCCCTCCCATTGTAGCCAACAGGAAACAAACAATGACTTTTCAGCAAATAAACTTTACAGCAATGGCAATTTAAAATAAGTGATCAATAAGCATCCTACTCTACTGAAGGAAGAGGGAATGCTCCTCATGCACCTTCCATCCAGCCCAACCTCACCAGCCCTCTTGGCACAATCTCAGAGAGCTCTGTCTGTCTGGTTATTTATTATGCTTCCAGTACAAAGAAATAGCTTTGTGCTTTATACAAGTTATTATCTGTATAATTGCTCTATAATATTTATATCTATGGTATGATTTTTTATGATTTGTATATTTTTCTTCTTTTTCTCTTTTATTACCACTTTATCATATATAATCCATTTGAAAAACTGAATATCCAGAATTATTAAAGGCTGACCTAACCTAAAGGTTGGACCTGTTCCCTTTTTGTTGATGTTGTTTTTATGACCTTCGCATGAACTGCTTTGGGAAGTTTTATACATTTTAGTCCACATTCAGAGCTGTGTTCTAGAAATGCCTCCATGAAGCATAAAGAAAAGCAGCTGCAGTCTTCCTGCCCTTTTTGTCCATGGCCATCATCTAACTATGGTAGCCAGGTGTTTGGTTTTGCCGGTGCCACGATGCCAGTGCCTGAACTGTCTAAGAGTGGGCCGTGAATTTTGCTGGCCTGCTCATGGAAGCAATCACATGCCCAGTGGGAACGCCAGTCCTGCACATACCTACCTGGCCTCAAGACCATCTTCTGGGCCTTCTCTAGAAGCCTTTGCCACATGAGGTACACATGGGTGACTACTAAATCAATGGTCTTTTTGGTGGTTACATCTCTCTTGAGTAATGCCCCTTGGAAAGGGGAAATGGCCCATGACTGCAAGAGTGCAATGCTTGTATTTCTTATAGCAAGGATATTATGATAAGAAACTGGAACAGCTGATGACAAAATCATAATAGCATTGAAGAAGACTGAATCTGCTTACAACGCCAGGAAAACACACTTAAAGAAACACCTGTAAAATTTCTCTTAGAAAGAATTTTAGTGTTTATGTGATTCTACACTATCAAAAACAATGATGGTGACTTGAAAAATATGCAAATACTGAAACGAATTGCTCTCCCCTTCCTTAAATCTTAAAAAGCATCATACTTCACTCTTTTCAATTTCTTTTTATTTCCCTTGTTGTTGTTTATTTTCCCTTTCTCCTCCTGTTGTAAAATCTCCCAAACACAAAACAGAGGATGCAATCCTATGGCCTCTCAGTGTCATCTAGGGGGCCATAGGATTCTTCTGAGCCCCGGCACCGAGCTCCTGCAACCTCAGTGTTGCAACTCCAAAAGCCAAGCCTCTTCCCTGCCCCCTCACAGCCAGCACAAAAAGAACCAGCTGCCTTGGAGGGTTGGAAAAGAAGTGTGCCAGGCAGTGGGAAGGAGAGGAGGCAGGGACTGTCTCCATATGCCTATCAGTTTGTATCAGTGCCCTATTTCCCTTCCCTCCCCATCCCTTGTACTTTAGATGGCCCCAAGCAGCTGCCGAAATAAAATGCACTGGGAGTAGCACAGTGGCAGTGGAGATCACTGTGGGCATGAACTGGCCTCTCCCCTCCAACCTCTCTCCCTTTCCCTTCCCAGTGATTAAGATGAGAGGCTTCTAACTATAGTGCTTTATCATGTTAAGCAGGTCAGCCAGGACTGGCTTTTGTGATACAAAGATGGTTGTTGTTTTTTTGTTTGTTGCATTTATATGCTGCCCCATAGCCAACAAGTTTCTCTCTGTTCTTACAATAAAGTAACAGCAGTGACAGCTGCTAATGTAGAGGTCATTCGCTAAAGATATCTATCTAGTTAAAGACTCACCAAGAGAGGGGAGCAGGAGCAGGGGCGGGGGAGGGAGAGAACTGTTTAGTCTGAGTTGATTCCAAACTGAATCCCAATCCTCCCTTCCCCACCAAACAGAGTTAGCACCACCCTCAGGGAGGTCCAGCTGCTTGTAGGCTGGATGGTAGAAATGCTGAATATAATCCAGTTGGCTAGCTCTCTTGACCAGGTACTGAACAATGGACTTACATTGCATGCCTCCCCTCTTTTCCACAGTTTCTCTCCACAAGCCAGAGGTGATTTGGTTCTCACCAGTCACTAAGCTTATCTCAAAGCACTCTGGTCTTGACATCCAACCCTAAACCTTTTCTCACTTCTGATTCAGAGTCTGAGGCATTCACCTCAGTATGCTGTATTTTGGGGGAAGTGGGCCTAGTCCGTACAGCTATCACCATCCCTCACTCCAGCCATTGGATGCTTGTAGGATCCAGAGTTCTGAGGGTAGGGATGATTGGACTGTGCCCTAAAGAGTCCTTATTTCAGCTCCTCATTAAATAGAAAGCAATAGTCACAGTGCAAGCACCCTGACTCCACCGAACTTCCTCCTCCCAGCTTCTTTTCATGAATTTAACTACTATTCCCAGTATACTGTTTCTTAACTGTACTACAAATATCTCCTTTGCCTATCAAAAATTATAATTCTTCCCCCAAACAGAAAGAGCTTCAGTCTATTGAGTGGTACAGAAGTGCAATTAATGAAATGAAACCAAGCAAATCACGTCTAAGAGATTAACTACATGCCTGCAAACAGCACATTACTGCATCAACAACATTACATCCCCAGCTGATATGAGAATCCTGGGAATCTCTTACTCCAGCAAAAGGCAATGTAACTGTGCGTGTTAATCTGGGTTACATTGGCAAGATCTTCTTCACTTAAGCAACGCAGCAATTTTATGTACAGGTTGTTGAAATGGAGCCCTCTGGCATGCCCCTGGGCTTTTCTTTCTTTCTTTCTTTCTTTCTTTCTTTCTTTCTTTCTTTCTTTCTTTCATTGCATTGAGCCTCTGCTTGAAAGAGCATGAACATAATTCATTGTACACTGTGTTGATCCACAAGGATAACACTGACCCTTGCACACATTTGGAAGAGGGAATATTGGCACTTTTTCTAAACTGATCTAAAGAACTTGTTACTGTGATGCTCTGAAATACGGATGCAGAAACTCCTGCCTGTGGGCCTGATCTGATGTTTGAAGGCCCCACTTCTGGCCTGTGGATCCTTGCAGCGGCTCTGTGCTCTACCCTCTTGGCAGTCTGACCTTCAGAGGAGCAGGAGAGAGGAATCGACAGTATCTCTCTAGCCAGAGATCAGGGATCACATAGGGGTTCGCTGTGCCACTCCCAAGCATGCAGGCTTTCCTGGTCAGGGAACTCTTCTGCAGAGAAGCCAAGCCAGGCAAAGCCCTTTACTCCTTCAGCGAAGCGAAGGGAACTCGTGGCAAGCTCTGTCCAGCTTCATCTGCCCCACTACTTCCACACCATGGAAAGCTGCCTGAATCCTCTTTGCGCCTCCATCAAGAAAAGGACAGGGAACTTGATTGGCTCAGTGTTGCCCACCCCACCTTTTTCCTCCATTGCAAAGCCACTGCAAAGCCAGCCATATCCCTTGTTCTCTCTCGGAGGACTGAGGGTTGCCCTACCAGCTCAGCTTCACTGTACAGGGGGCTCCTCTAGCCAGGAAAGCCTGCAGACCCGAAGGACTGGAAGCTCCCCCTGCTGTGCCCTCCCAGCCCAGGCTGCAGCTACTCCCACAAATGCCAGGAGCATGACCATGACACCTGGGAGAGGGCTGGTTGTGGGGTCATCAGTTCCTTCTGCCCAATTTTGGTTCTGCACCTCTCCTCTAAACCAAATCATTTGAGGACACATTGATGGAGTTACACTGATTTGGGATTCCTATTCAAACTGCTTCCATTGAGTGTTTGGTAATGTCCTTATTCATGTACCTTCTCCAGCCTGAATAACCATTTTATTGCCTTGTGGCACAGATCGCTCTTCTTCCTGTGTTTAGGTTTATGCGCAGCATTTTGGGATCTACCAATGGCAGGAAAATTACTTTCTGGTCTATCATTTAAAAAGTATTTCTCAAACTGTGTCTCAGGAGTAACCAGTGAGCAACTTACGTGGTATCAAAAAGAGGAAATGCATCACCAAAAAAGCAACACCAATATGCATTACATTTGCACATACAGATTTATAAAAATAGCAGCAAAAATTGGTTGGCTGTTCAGTTGTTAATCCTTGATGGGCCCCTTTAATATACTACCTCTCTCACTTCTTAAGCTTCTTTATCTTGAAACAAAACTTGGTCTACGCAGCCCTTCAAAGAGAGGATTCCTTCCAATACAGGATTGTTCCGGAGTAGCCCCTAAAATGGAGAACTGACTTCTGTAGATAAGGCACCTGGCCACCCTGTGAGGACCAGCCTAGCATCACTCATCGAGAGCTTGAGGGAGTTTGTGTGTGCGTGTGTCCATGGGAAGGGGAAATGGGAGGCAGGGAGGTGGAACAGAGCATGAACATGTTCAGGGTAGAAAGGAGGAAGGGGAGGGTCTCTCATGCCTGTGGGGAAAGGGCCAGAGTGGGCCATGAAGGAAAGTAGTGAGATAGAAGTTTCACAAATTTACTTAAATTGCTGCTGCTGCTGCTGCTGCTTTAAACTAGGAATAAAGAAGAGTATAATAAAAGAGAGCAGTTCTTAGACAAGGAAGAGGTGAATGTAAAAGCAACAGGAGAAGGAAGGAAGGAAGGAAATTAGCTGCAGCAGGGATAGGGGAGCTTAAGCATGGAAAGAGAGAAGAAGCAATGACAGGAAGTGAGAAATAATAGTTTGAAAGGCATTTGAGAGAAGAGGTAATAATGAAACGTACAGAATATATGGTTCTAAGTCACAGAGAAGCTGAGTCACATTGCCTCCTGGTCCAATGTCTTGCCCTTAACTGAATGAGATCTGTACTCTGGAACCCTCTGCACAAAGATATTGCTTTGGCAAAGAACATGGCAATTTCGGTATTTATAGAAGATTATCAGCATTTGCTAGCTAATTATGCCAAACTCCATCATCGTCCACTGCCACTTAAGCCTGCAAGCAGGAACTCGGAACAGAAAGTTTTTTAAAAAAATAAAACTAGTGGCTCTACTCTTAGAGGAAAGGCTGCTTACATGAACTTCTGGTGAGAGTTTGTGCTGTTCTCCTCCCACCCCTTTGACCAGAAAATACAATGTAAACCCCTTCCCCCAGGTGAGATCCTTGCAGGCAGACCAAAGGGCAAGAGCCAAAGGGTTCAGCCTACCAGAGAAATGCACCATTTCAGAGCTGAATAACAGTTGCAGGTTTCTCCTGTGTTGCTGGTTGGGTGTTGCTATTCTTGAACTGTAGAACACCCTAGCCAAGGGATCCGGTGGACTTTGAATCGCCTTCTAATTGTATGAGCAAAAATTGGCCTTTGGATCTTCCCATAGTGAAGGTGAGCCTCAGATTTTGATTGGCTGGCTGGCAGATTGGCCAAAAGCCAGTGACAATGTGAGTGGTGCTTAATGAAGTAGCAGGGTTCAGGTAATATTGAAGGTTGTCATACCTGGAAGGGCAACAGACAAGAGGTAAGGCAGCTGCTCGGCTTTCCGAGTGGTTCCTTTATTTTCATCTGAATAACTGTGGGTTTTCTGCAAAGAACAAATTGTAAGTTTTGGGAAATACCATGGAAGAAACCAGGCTTAGGTTTGCTTGATCATAGCCATTGCTTATTCCTTGTAATTGCCACTCTGCTTCCATTTCATTCCCACGCACGTCTCATTTTCCTTGTCTTGTTTGTAGATTGTAAGATCCTTGGAGGTTCTGTGTAAACTGTACTATACATGAATGTGTATTGTTTGCTTAGTTCCACATATTATTATCATCATAATCATTTCTATGCTATTCAGTAGCCAAAGCTCTTTGGGAGGTTTATAACAATCCGTTAAAGCCCTAAACAGCTTTGGGAGTGTTTAGCTTAAGGACCATCTGCTCCCAAGGACCTACCCACCCATTAAGATCTGGGCACGAGGTCCATCTAAAAGAGCCATCCCTTAAGGAGATAAAGGGAATGGTAAATAGAAGAAGGGCCTTCTCAGTGGTTGCCCTTCAACTATGGAACAGGCTCCCCTAAGAAATTCCTCTGGCACCAAACTTGTTTTCATTTCAGTGTCAGGTGAAGACATTTCTTTTCTCTGAACATTTTCAAGGACAGCCTTAAATTTATTATTGTTTACTAGTATAACTGTGTTTTTTCTTTTAAAAAAAACAAACTTTTAACTGTGATTTTAATTGTCTTTATTGTTGCTTTTAGTATTTTACTGTAAGTTGCCTAGACAGGCGTCATCTGGATTAGTGGGCAGCATACACATTCAAAAATAAGTAAATAAATAAATAAATAAATCTGTCCAAACTACAAAATTTAAAACAGCTAAAACTATATATGATGAAGAGCAGTCCTGTAAATCACCTGGGATGGATAACCCCCTCAAGCCCTTGGATATACATGTATGCCTTTTAAAGTCTTTTAACCTGGTGTCAACTTAACCTGATGACCGTGTAGTTCATAGAATCATGGAATAGTAGAATTAGAAGGGGCCAAGAAGGCCCTCGGGTCCAACACCCTGCTGGTTCAGGACACCAGTTTACACCTTCCCACTCAGATGACTGACCAGGCAACCCATAGTCATTCCAGAGATGGGGAACAGCTCTCTCCTTGTTGCTTCTCTCCAAGCTCCCCTCAAAGTTGGCACTTGGAGGAAGGCCCTGGATGTTGACCTTAGTGTCTGGCTGAGTGAGAGAAGTTCTCCATCAGGTATTGTGTTCCCAAGATCCAGAAGGCTTCATAGGTTTAAACCAGCACCTTCAACTGTGTTTCCAATGCAAGCAGGCCAGGACTGGCCTCATATCATCAGAGCTGTGGATCCCAAGTATTAATCTGACAACAGTCTTCAAGGGCAGCCTCATGTAGAGTTAATTGTAATAATCTAATTTGGAGATTACCAGAGAGTGGAATTATGAATCTGAGCTATCCCTGTCCAAGTAAGGTCATTGCTGGGCCACCAACTCGAGCTGGTAGAACGTGCTCCATGCCACTGAGACTACCTGAGCCACAAGTGAAAAGGTGATCAAGAAAACCCCCCAAGGTGTGAATTTTCACCTTCAAGGGGAGTGCAAGCCCAGGCAGAACAGGTTGAACACTCAGGTCCCAGTCAGAGGAACCAGTCACTAAGAGCCTCTCAGTCTTGTCTGGATTGAGCTTCAGTTCATTAGCCCTCATCCAGTCCATTGTCACATCCAGGCCCCAGTTTAGCACATCCACGAGATGTCAAGAAACCCCATTTCACTGGCCCTGCTCCACATTTTCTTCCATGCCCTCCAGCTGCCATGCAGTCCACAGGGGAGTCCATGGATCAGGAACATGCTTGATAGTTATTGTGTTTCTTGTTTGTTCTAATTGTGTCCCCAAAATCAGGTTGTAAGGTTGGGGGAGATGCTGACATTATTCTTCCACACTAGAAAAGAAATGTTATAGCAAGGTCCACCTGGCGCTGTCCTTATTTGTTTTTCGGTGCCAGGCCAAGACCTTTTTGTTTAAATGCTATTTTAACTGTTAATGGTTTATTTGTTGGTTTAAATTGACCAGGCTGGATTCACTATTTTATTTTATTTTATTTTATTTTATTTTATTTTTTGTATTTTATTTATTTGATGATTTTTTTGTATTTTATATGGGATTTTATATGGAATTTTAATGATTGTAAGTCGCCTCGAGGCTCATGCAATGGGGCGGCATATAAGTTGTTTAAATAAATAAGATGCCAGAAGACACTGAGACTGACTTAAAACATCTGTTGCCTAGATCTGACTGAAGATAACTACGTGGAGGACGTTTCAGAACACAATTGCAGAAGACATGGTGACCTTGCAAATTGCACTCTCCTTGATGGCAATATGTCTGCTGCAGGTGACCACAGGACAAGGTGACTATGGATGGTGGTGGAAGAGGCTCAGATGCCAGCTGAAGTTCAGTTTCTAAGAGAATAGGGAGGTTCTCCTGGGAAGTCACACCTTCCCTCCTGTCCTTCTAATCAGCTTTCCTAATGCCTAGTGGTCAGGCAGCCTTAGGGTTGGAATGAATCCTTTAAGAATCCATCCCTTAAGCACCTACTGGCATCCTCTTGTGCTTGGCCCAGCCCTGCAAAGTGAGCTGAGCCAAAGGGGCATCTACAAACACTTGTGGACCCATAATTGTGCAACTGCCAACCTTGTTCATCAGGTGGAACCACTCAAAGAGTGGCTGCAGAAAACAAAAGAGGGGTGCCAAAAGCCAGGTGTCTAGATGTCATTTCCAGCAGCCAACTTCTTTCCTGGCAGCACCAGGCATGGAAGAAGGGTGCTGCTTGCAGGGTTCATCTCCAGCTGAGCATCCTACAAATTCTGGCCATGCTCACCTGTATGTCAGAGTCTGGGCTGAGACAAACCCAGGGAATCCAATGAATTCTTCAGTCATCCCTTGTTGGTACTACCAGTCAGAATTCCTTGCCTATCAAATATTTTATGTATGGTGCATGCATTTAGATGAATCAATACTATACACATTATATCAACTTCAATCAGAAAATAGGTCACCTCACTCATTTGCTGCGCGGAGCTTAATCAAAAGCACATTTCATACACACAACAAAAAGAAACCCAGTAAGTTTATCTATTTGCTCTAGGCCTGTAACTGCAAACAGGTCTCAGTCCTTTAACTTCATGACCTGTCATGGGAGCATTTAGCACTAATCTCAGTACAGGTATGCAAATTAGGGTTATTTTCAGAAGGAAGGGGGGGAACCCTTCATAAGCTCAGAGGTACTCTTATTTTAAATCTCCAAAGAGCAACTGGGTTGGAGGGCCACCTAATGCAACTGTAAGATGATGTAACAGTTCGTTTCCAGTGGAAGTTTTCCCTCTCCCATTCCTACCACTGCTGAGTACAGAAGGGTCAAGGATTTAGGAGGCATTGATCACTTGCAGTAAATCACCTGACAGCAGAGTACCAGGAAATGATACCAGGCTCCTGGAACCAAGTGGACTTAGTTTGGCCTGACTTGGTCCCCAGAGCTGCTAGAAACTTGCTTGCTGTTTCAGCATGTTCCAGTTTTAAAATAGACCACATCAAGATAATTATACCTCAGTTTAAGAAGCCAAGATGTGCAACAGTCCTTTTGTCTAACATGCAGCCCCTTTGCTCATACTTTCACTTTGAAATACGGTTACTAGAAAGTCTTTAATTGATCATAGTTTCCCACTTTAATTGATCATAGTTTCCCACTTCATCTAATCCAGAAAGTTTCCAATCAAGCTTGTATATCAAACCATGGTTCCATATCCTGGCTTGTTCCAAAGCTAGTAACCATAGCTCCCTGGCTCAGATGGATTGGGAAGCTATGGCTTCCCAATTTCTTGGTGCTATCCATGGCTGCACAAAGGGTTTCCATGTGCAAGCAAATGCTTGTTCATCCCTCTGTTTAGTAAACTAAGATGTGGTCCTTTGAACCAGACCCTTCCCCTTGCACCTATTTACAACCCTATCACTGTCCCTTGCCTGAACTATCTTTGGCTTTTTCTTATTTCCTCAGGTACTGCTAGCTCACAAGCAGGTAAGATGCTTCAATGTATGGGCATATTTCTGTATTGGGACAGATAGAGAAAAGAAAAGTTCTCAAACTCAGAGATCATACCCTTCCAACCACTTCTTAAATATAGAATCTTCTTTAATCCACACATTAATGGTGTTAGAGATGATAAAGCCATATTAAGCATATGGAATGTAAAGAAGCTATAAAACAAAACCAAATGTGGCCCATTCTAGGAGTGACTGCAAGGTTCCATAAAAAGTGTGGCTGTCCAGTGCCAATGCCTTAGCAAGAAAGCCAAGCTATGTATTAGGAAAGAAATTGGCATCCTCCTTTAATTGGATGTATGCCTTATTTTATGTGGATGGGGAAATCTTCCTAGCTCTACATCTTATCATGCAAGATTCACCCATCAAGCCTATCTCACAGTGAATTCTTTTGGCCTCCTATCACACATATCCCAACAAATCTTCCTGCTGCAGTCTGGTCACATTAATCTTAAACCCCATGACCTAGAAAGCCCAAGATTTTGGGGAGAGAGGGAGCCCAGGGCTGAGAGCCAGGCCTCCAAACTACACGTTCTTGTGCCCAAAACTGAACAAGATTTTTTCACAAATTTAAAATCCAGCCATGCTTTCCAAATTAAACCTGAACCAGCAATTGCCAGCTTTACCACCCTAACATTTATTCTGTAAAGGTAAAGGTTCCTCTGCACATCTGTGCTAGTCGTGTCTGACTCTGGGGCCGGTGCTTATCTCCATTTGTAAGCCAAAGAGCCAATGTTGTCCAAAGATGCTTCTGGAGTCATGACTGAACACCAAGGCACACAGAACACGGCTACCTTTCCCACCTTTCCCTAAATATGGTGCCTATTTATCTACTTGCATTTGCCTGCCTTGGAAAGGCTTGATTGGCATGAGCTGGGACAAAGCAGCAGGTACTTACCAATTGCACGTATTCAAAACTGCCAACCTTTTGATCAACAGCCCAGCGGCTCAGCAGTTTAACCTACACCAAGCCACCCACATCCCTATTTTTTATTCTGTAGGATACATTAAAATATATGTAACCCATAATTCCTTACACTTCCCTCAGACAAAGTCTCACTGAATTCAGTAACACTCAGTAGTTTTTAAGAGAAGTGTCTGTGATTGCACTACCCTGGGCTGAAACCCAAAGGGGATGCATTGCCTATCAGAATGTCAGTGAGCTGCTCTATCAACAGTTATTTACTTCTGGAATAATTATACTCACTTATTAACTAATGTTCTCAAGGCAGCTTACAATTTATTGAATATGCAATAAAAAGTTAAAAGGGAGGAGCAATGACTTTTCCCCTGATTATCAGCTGTTCCACTTGATCTTTCAAATTCCTGGCTAGGAAATGGCAAGCAAATCAGCTAGAAATGGGTCTCTCCCAGGCCAGGGCTCCTTCACTGGCCTGTTGCCACCATCTCTTAAATCACCTGGCTCTGCTGGTCAATCCAGGGGACACCAGACACACAGAGATGTTACAGGCACCTCTACCGCCCAGACGCCAGACATTCTGACTCTCATTCTGCTGCTCAATTTCTATGCCACAGCAAGTTTTCTAGGAAACAATCCCGGTCAAGATATGGCCAGGATTAGAATTCATAATGGTTGGAAGGGTAATAAGAGAGTTATGAAAGAAGACAACTGGCAAAATAAATTGAGGGAGGATGGGGGAATACAGAAAGAGAGAGCTTTGCACTTAGTTACCAGTAATATGATGGAGAGATGGATAGGAATTTATGGGTTAAGAAGTAAGGCATCTGTTTATTAAGGGGTTCTTTAATAATCATTGAACAGGTGATAGATCTCAACCATCTCTGCCACTTCCATGGAAAAAACAAACTTTAACCCTCTTTGAGGGAGACTTGACACTTATTTACATGGGTGTCCATTCACTGAGACAGAGAGTTAATTAGATGCTACGTTGTACATAGCATACTGAGGATCTGTGCCATTTTTTCACCTGGAAGTCAGCTTGCAGACCCCTGATCTGGAGCGGGACACAAAAAAAGAGGAGATGACCTGCGCATGATAGAGTTAACATCTATCATGTGCAACTAGCTAGTTTAGTCCTAAGTGAGACTTACAAGCAAGCATGTATAAAACTGGGCCACATTTAGAGGTGGTTTACATGACACAACGATGGCACAACGGTGGCACAACATGACACACAGTCACTGCCTAACCACCCCAGTTCATGCCTGATTACCCTCTCCAGGTGTGGGTTATCATGTCATCTGAACCTGGCTAAGGTTGGGAGACTAGAGTGTTCAAAAAACCTCACAGCAGCCCCCGAACAGAGCTGGCCTCCCAGCCACCGTCCATCACCAGGTTAAGGCATCATGGCAAGACACTCCCAGTGAAGGCGATTAGGAAAGTCAGCCAGCATGCACAGGGGTAGTTAATGAGGCACAGTGGCTAATTAGCCACAGTTGTGTCATGCAAACCTGGACAAAGTCTTAAGCATAAATGTTAAGTATTAACTTTTCAGATAAATAAACTTGAAATCTAGGATCATTGCTTAATGGAAATGTGTGAAATACTTGCTCAGCCAACAAGAATTTCTAGTTGATCAAATGCTTCAAGTTCATCTTGCAAACTTTTGTTTCCTGATGTGTTTCATCTCTCATGTTGCAAGACCTTGATTCTGTTAGCTTTGCAGACCATACTGATAAATCCTCCGATTTCCTCCCCTTCCTACATAGCTTGTGGGCAGCCAATAAATCCTCCACGAATTGTTGGGGGTCAATCAGCCAAACCAGGGTCATGGCCCTGGCAAGTCAGCATTTCAAATAACAAGCAGCATTTCTGTGGAGGCTCCCTCATCTCAGACCAGTGGATCTTGTCGGCGGCTCACTGCTTCTATGAGTAAGTTTCTGCTATGCATTGTGATGAAACCAAAATAAAGCTTCACCCCAGAGGCAGCTGAAAGGCCAGGCTAATGTCCTATGCTTTTTCTAGCTACCCAGTGGCAGGGTTCACACAACATAACAAGCAATCCTGCTTGGTTGCAGTTTTTTACCACGATCTACCTGACAAACAATCACGTGGTTTCTTTGTTATCATGGTTTCCATCCTCCTCACTCAGACTTTCCACTGTTGGCTCATGTCCCATCAACCACTGTGCTTGATATTCAATCCCAAACTGCATTGCTTGCTGCCTATGTTTCCTGCCTTTTCCTCATTGGTCCATGCATAAAGGTTGATAGCCAGAGGGGCACTCCTGAAATTACCACTCTATCTAGAGAACTCTGTGGTCATTGCATACAAGGACATGGAAATCACAATTCTGGACCTTTATTGGCATTTTGCAGCTACAAGTCAAAGCAGCTCTAAAAAACCCTCTAGTGAGTTGGAAGATTAGCTCTGTGCATACTAAGAATGATTGTAGCTGTCACACTAGGGACTTCTCCACAAATGCCTTTCCTTTCAGTAACTCCAGGTTAATCCCTCAGAATGGTTCCCATTGATAACCACCACTGGGCAGCTCATCAGGGCATCAGGGACCAGGCAAGGAAACAGCTCTCCCTTCTCCCATTCCTGGACCCCTTCCATCTCTTCCAAAACATCCATGATCTCCTGGTCAGCTTGGAAATCTGTGGACAGTGACCTTGAGAAAATTTCAAAGGCCTCTGTCTATCCCTGAGTTTCCAAACCTCCCACTGCCAAGACTTCAAGGTCTTCTTCTTCAGAATCTCTGGGATGCCTGTCAAGAGTGACGATCAGGGTCACTCGCTGCACATGCCAACAGTAGTGGAACTGAGCGAGGAGAGCGGGAATCATGCTAGTGTAGAAACCACTTAATTATCTCCATGCAAAACACAAGCATCTCCAGGCAAAGCACAATGCGCCATGAGAACCATGCAGCGTTGCTTGTCATGACATGTGCACCCAGTTGCTATGGTATCTGAACTGGAGAGCCTGACCAAGCCATCAGCTTGTTGTTCTCTTGTGCCACATGACATCATTGGAGTTGGTAGCTTCCACTGTCTATCTGCTCTAGTAGCACCGAACGGCTGGAAAAGAAGAAACCAATGCTTCTGTCTTCTGGTGGGAAAGAAGGCAGGATTTTGATCTCTGGGATTTTGAAACCCACAGACTGAATTGTCAAGGAGTCATCTCTTGATTACTGAAGAGTAGTCAAGAGGCTGTTTTCAGAAGGAAGCAGGAAGAAAATTCTATCCAATCACCTGGATCCCTACATTGAAAAATGTTGAGTGTTCATAATTCTTGCTAGCTCAATTAATAAGTAGTTGATTCCTGAGCTCTGAGTAGGAACTGAGCTGCAAGGCCCACTGATTTGAATTGAAAATGCCTCCCAGCCCATTTAATTTCACAAGTGGTCTAATTGTAAGAATATATGAAGGGCTGGGTTCAGTCAAACTAAAGGTCTGCCTAAGCCAGCATTCTCTTTCTAGCATAGCCAACCAGATACTGGAAGCCCAGAAGCCATGCATGACCACAGTATATGCATGCACCACCCCATCCATGTTCCTCAACAGCTGGCATTCAGAACCTCTTACATGGAAGGTAATACCCAGCCATCATGACTAGTAAATCTTGATATTGTTGTTGTTCAGTCGCAAAGTCGTGCCCTACTCTTCGCGACCCCATGGACAACATTCCTCCAGGTTTCCCTGTCCTCCACCATCCCCTGGAGTACACCCAAACCCACACCCACCTCTCCAGTGACCTCATCCAGCCACCTCTACCTCTGTCATCCTCTTCTCCTACCTAATCTTACATGAAAGCATCTAATCCCTTTTAAAGTCATCCACATTAGTGGACATGACCACATCCTGTGGAAATTAATTCATTGGTTTTGCTCTGTGGGGCTGTACATTCTTTCATCTGTCTGAATTTCTCACCTTATCGCTTCGTTAGGTGACCCCAAGCTCTAACACTGCAAGTCTCTTTCTCCATACCATGCACCTCAGGCCACCTCTGACGTGTGGCTTCCTCACTCTACTGTTTTCTAAACTAAACTCTTTCTCATATCCTCTTGCACATTTTGGGTTGCAATTCTGTCCATGTTTTGACACAGAATGTTCCACATGCTGGTTCAGGAATGCTGGGAATTGTAGGATTTCCCCCTGTCAAAACAGGCATAGAATCATGCCTTCATCTGCCATTTTTGCATCTTTTCTAGCTCTACACAATCCTTTTTGAGGTGCGATAACCAAAAGTACACATGCTATTCTATACCGTGCTAGTATATTCTATTCTATATCTATAAGGCATGATGATAACATCATTTTGCTTTCTTAACAATCCCCAAATTTTCCCCTTTTGCTGCTGCTGCTTTTTCAAACAGGAACCATACACAAAGTTGATTCATTCCATGGTCTGTCACATGCCCAAGTTCCCTTTCCTGGTCAGGCACTACTAACTCAGACCCTGTCAACATGCATATGAAGTTAGGGTTTGCTTGTCCCTATTTGCATTGCTTACATTGGATGTTTGCCACTTTAAGGCCCAGTCACCTGGTTTGCATGCATGTGAGCCATTTCTATTTCTAGATTGATTTGGTGATTCAAACATTTCCAGCTTTACCATCAGCAAAGATTCATCCTGAAATAGAAATGTCCCCCTGCTCCTATCAGCCTTCCACTGACTCCTCAACCCCATCAGCAACCTGATCCAGAGCTCTTCTAAACTAGACAATTATTGTTCACTTATTATCCCTCATTTAGGGGGGTTGTGGATCCTTTGCATGACAGCAACATCCTCTCAGGAGAGTTTTTTAGAGCAACAATCATTCAGTATTTCCTTCTTACAATGAACAGGTTGGTCTAGATTCTGTTCTATACCACAGCACCACCTTGTGGTGTGTAAGGGAACATATGAAGGCAGACAGGAAACTCCGCTAGGAGTAGGGGGAATATTTCATGTAAAAAGATGTTCTTCCTCCCACAAGTAAAATAGAAAAAGCAGCCCGGGTAAAGCACGGAGTTAAAAGCCTCATATCGAGAACCCCTAGTCACTTTCACAGACCTGCTAGAAAACTTGTCTGATTTTCCTTATTTGAGGGTTCTGAAACTACAAATGGATGGCAAATACTGAGGAAATGAGGGAGTTCCATTATCCATCTTCCCCAAGAACTGCAACTCACATTATTCCTCGGTCACATCTATTGGTAACCACACCTGCAAAGAAATTGTGCTGCTCTTTGGCTCTTCCATTCCTAATGGGTTTTCTGTGGGGAAAAAAGGAAAAACCAACAACAACCTGGAGGGAAAAGGTGGCGGGATTACAACTGAATGACAGGAATGTCTGGAACAGCCATAAAATTGCATGAAGCAACCCTGACAACTAAACATTATAATGACATGTCTGGAGTCATCTCTAATAGAATCTTTTGTCAATTCTGACAGGAGAGGATGAAGTGATGAGAATGTAGCTTGTTCACACTGTGCTATAGCATTGCCTAGCCTGGTCGCCTCAGCAGTCTCTGTCTCAAATAATTTGTCCATCAGCACAGGAAGTTCTGCTGAGCCTTGAAACTCCAGCAGAAACCCAAAGCTCAGTTCTGCCAGCTCCTGATGCATTTTGTTCTTCTGTTCACAGTGCCAATATTTTTAACACATACGAAGTGCTGCTGGGTGCCAATCAGCTCTTCAACCCCTCAAGTAATGCAGCAGCACCCCCACTGAAAAAGATTGTCTTGTACCCTGCCTACAATCCAGACACTAACTCTGGGGATGTTGCTTTGCTTCAACTGAAGGCTCCTGTGAAATTCACGGAATACATCCGCCCAGTCTGCCTGCCAAACTCCTCTGTGCAATTCACTCCAAATGCAGACTGCTGGGTCACTGGATGGGGAAACATCAACAGCAATGGTGAGGCCTGTTCTTTGCACTGCTCATTCAGACTCTGTTGACCTTCATACCTTCAATGGTCAGAGTGGTTTACAAGGCAAAGGGACAAAACCCACGCACTCTCGTGAAAAGCTGCTTTTGAAGCACAAATATGCAGGTGGGAGACAGCCACCAAAGCCTTTCCTCACAGCCCTGAGACCCCCAGCCTCTGCTGCCACTGGAAAAAATAAAAATAAAGCAATGTTCTAAAACACACTTTGGGGTTTCCACCATGTAGACTCAATCCTACAGCATCCTAAGAACCTGAGCTCCAAGGTTTTGGCCTGCTTTGCAGCCACTCTGGAGATTATCTAGGAATGGCAGGAGCAACAGAGCCCAATCCTGGAAGGGTCTTTCTTCCTTTGGGCAAATGTAATACCTTCAGAGTTGTCAACCAACCTCTGCACAAGTTCAGCCTTGAAGGAAAAAGTTAGCTTCTAGATACAAAGAGAGGGGTTTGCACAGGTGTGGCAAGTACACTTCCACTGTGCATCCATTGCTAAAAGCGTGTGTAGCCATTCTGTACACAGCTGATGTCTCCTTCCTCTGCATTCCATTTCTTTCTATTTCTTTCTCCTACAGTGAATTTGCCATTTCCATCAGTTCTTCAGCAAGTGAAGGTACCACTGATAAGCCAAAAAGCCTGCAACACCCTGTACAACAATGTTACCACGTCACACATTGGCAAGGATCTTATCAAGGATGATATGATCTGTGCTGGTTTCCCAGAAGGTGGAAAGGATTCCTGCCAGGTAGGATGCTTCATCTCCTGCTTTTTATACAGCCATGGTGTGTGGTGGACCAGAAACCTCAGAACCTATCAGAAGAGGCTCCACCTGATTAAATTTTAGAGTGGCCAGATGCAAAGGGGGACAGGGCTCATTTGCTTTGAAGAGGTGTGCAGAAGATGGATTTGTCAGATTCTTAAAGGAGTCCTGCCCTCACGTGCCTCTGAAAGGAAGAATAAATGATGCAGGAATGTACTACCAGTAGTAGAAGAATTCACAGAATTCAGGCCTTTTCTCAGAGGAGAACAACCCTTGATTTAGGTCTATTATGATTTAGTTAAACAGAAGTTGTGTGTGTGTGAATTTTGCCCTTGGCTTTCTTTCTGACTTTCATCTAACTTATTCTCCATCTTTCATGGCCTCCCATGCACCACCAGGGAATTGGAAGGAGGAATATATGCAGAAGCTTGTCACTAACTTAGAAACATAGAAACAGAGCAAGTCAGAAGGGTCTCCCGGGCTGTGTAGTCTGACCCCCAGCTCCAGCCGGCTCCACTCATGACATGCCTACCATGTGCATGTCCAACTACATGGCTCTGCACCATGTGGTCTGCTGGGGTCTGGGAGGCTTTTCAGGATAAAAAATAATCCAGCCTTTTTATAACACAAAAGGCTTTGCTGTGCTCACAAAGAGCCTGCATGCTGGTGTAGTTCATGCACAGAAAGCCTGGCAGCTTAGAGTCCTTCGGAACCAGTATGGCTGGAGGAGTGTGGGCCATGCATGCCTTTCCTCAAGGAGGGTCAGGGAAGAGACAGGGCTTGTTTCCAGGGTAAGAGTCCCCAGATGTAGGAGGAAATAGGTGCCATCCATAAAATTTGTGGGCAGGTCAGTTCCTGGCAGGAGGGCTGGGTGGCTTGTCCATCAGGGGAGCTCTCTGACCACTGCAGTTTTTCTTTTCAGCTTTGTAGGAGCTATCCAGGGTGCTGAACACCATCCCCATAGAAGTCACAAACCTCTCCAGGTTCCTGGTTCTCATTAATCAATTTCTCCTGTAGCAACTCCATGAGTACAGTTTTACTGAAATCTCTAATGCCAGGAGGGAGTAAGAGTAAGAAAAGGTGGGCAGCTACCTATCGGGACAAGAAGCTTTATCAGCAGATTTGTCACACTGACAAAGAACTGAACCAGAAAACCTTTGAGGTCCCTTTTAGTTCAGCTTTTGCTGGCACTGCAATACTGCTAAAGCAGCTTTTAAAAACATTTCGGCAATGTCCAGCCGTTGTTGGTTCTTATAAATTCCATACCAGAATGGCCTTTAATATTCACAGGTGTGCATGCTTTTTTAAAATAGTTATCTGCTTCACAGAAATTAGCACGTGGTCAGCCTCAATGGATTCTCTGTGTTCCTTTGGCAGCTAAGAGATTGCAATTACAAATTGGAAGGATAAACACTCACCTCCTATAACAGACTGTGGGCCTTACCAGCTTTTAATGCCTGAACAGGTGACAAGTAGAGACCTCCTTCAAATGGATACTTATTTGGATATTTAGTTCACTTTGGTTGAATCTGAAGCACAATGACTAGAAAGCTGTAGGCATTTCATACAAATCCATATATCCCTGCTTGAAGACATGTTCTACCTTCCACACCAGCACTTCATTCCAAACAGGATGTCTGAGTTTTGCTCAAGTCATGTGCTATTTCTGTAATTTCTCTCCACAGGGAGACTCCGGGGGACCCCTGGTTTGCAATCTCCCAGAAGGTTGGACCCAGGCTGGCATTGTCAGCTGGGGCATAGGGTGCGCCCAGGCCAGCCGCCCTGGTGTCTACACTCTCGTGCCTTTCTATGCCGACTGGATCCAAAAGACGATGAACGGTGGATTGCAAAGTGCCCCTCTTGCGACACTCCTCTTGCTGCCTCTTGCACTGACCCTCCTGTGAGAGAGCCATCTCTCGCCTTCAGTCTTCCAGCTAACTGCATGGAAGATCATCTGGCAGGACATTCATACAGCTCAGCTTAAATACAGTATGTTCCAAATCACCATATGTAACAGAGGAGAAATTCAGAGAATCCGGCCCTAGTTTCAGTGTGATTAAATCTGCTGCAACTGTTCCAGTTCTCTACCCAGCTTTTAAAGTGGTTGACTGAATCCCATTTTGGAGAAGTTATTTGGGGCTGGATTCCAGTGGTGAACATGGCTGAAGACCAAAGTGAGTGGGACCAAAGTCTCCAAAACACCAGCACAGATTAGATTGAAGCTCTTACTGCCTGGAACTAACCCTTGGGAGAGGTATTTCAGAATGGGAATAGCAGAGGGAAAGGGGTCTATCTAGGCTGGAGTGGAACTCTGGGTCTGGTGTTCTTCATGGTTTGCATATCCACAGGCCACCTGGAAACTGTCACTTGGAGAAAATGCAAATGATTTTTCATCCAACCATGGTCTTTGTTCAGGAGCTTAGGATAATTTCATATGCCACTACCAGTGATATTTTGGACATCTATCATTTGTCTTCTGGTCCCTTTGTGAAATCTATCAGTAAGTTCTCCTGCCCAAAATCCACCGATGTGAACATTGTTTACATTTATCTAGTCATTTTTCCTTCCATTTTCCACTGGGAAATCGACTTCAATTTCTGCCATTTTGCCTTTAACCTAGAATTTTTTAATTGCGCCTGTTGCTGGCCTTCAGTGTAGGCTTTTAATGGGATAGCACTGCATTTCCTTAATTACTACACTGATAACATGTTTTATTGTAAGCCATCTTACAAAGGCTTGCCCTAAAAGGCGGTGCAGAAATCTAATCGACAAATGGAAGGGAGAAATGTGTGCATTTGTACCAGGCTAGCTGGGCTCCACGCCAGGAAACAGCAAAGGTAATCACATTTTCACCACACACCAGAAACCAGTTCTTACCTGTTCTACCCTATTTGTGTGTAAACATTAAACAGCTCAGTTTCAGGATGACTAACCCTTTTTTAGCATATTGGTCACAAGTAAGTTATTAAGCAGGGCTATGTTAGAGGAAACTCATTAGAAAGTACAGAAAAAGGACAACTGGAGCCAGTACTCTTGGGTTCTCTCCTCCAGAAATGGGGGCAGAAGTCTGAGAAAATTAAAGTCTGGGAGAGGAAATGAGTGCACTGCTACTGCATACACGTTGCTCAGAACTATTCCACTGACTAGTTCAGACATCCTCATAATCCATACTCAGGTATTGTCACTGAACCATGGGTTAAAATGTGGGTTGTTTCATTATCTGAACTCAGCTGGGTTAATAAACCATGTTTTCTTAACCATGGAAAAGTTTATTAGGAGAATCATAGATTGTGACGTCACCTGGGTTCAGACAACACAAGAACTCACACTTCAAGAATAACTCGTATTCAGCCCTTGAGTTTGAATTATCATGTTGTCTAAATCCAGTCACTGTGTTCAGTTCTGCTGACTCTCAACTAGAAGTGCATGGTGTTCAACTGAAACAGCATTTCCAATGATAAATGCCCTTGTGTAGGAAATGAAAGAAAACATATCATTTCTCTGTGTATCTCAAGATCCTGGATAAAGATTTCCTTGCTTCTGCACAAGGAAAAGCATTGTTTGTGGTATGAGATCCAGAATTCAATATCCTAAAAATCATGACTGACCTTTAAAAATAAAAATTCCAGTACTTCTTGTTTTGAAGATATTAATTTCATCATTTATTACTAACATTTATGGCATTTCAGTGGAAATAAGTGATCAGAAATGTGAAATGGCATCTTACCAAGCAAGGAAAACTTGGCATGTTAGTGGAAGGGCTGTACACAGATGCAATCGGTGTTTCTACAGTGATATGCTGCTTTCCCTTCTCCCCGGTTACACAATTACACATTTACATCCTTAACGAGTCTACCGATACGAACTTTATCCATTCATTCAGGAAACGGAAGTGCAGGAAGGCAAAGGTTTCAGAAAATGCTCATAATGGCTATGTGGATTGGAGAATATAATATGCGCAACCAGTTTCATATCATGTCCCTCAGGGTCAAAAAGATTTCTATTCCACCTTATTGTATGGAGACTGTGCTCAGACTGAAGCTCCACAATCAGTAGAAAAAGAAGCAAATCCAGCAAAACGCTGTACATCATGCTTTGTACTGGAGACTCCATAGAGGTGAACAGTATTCCGCAAGCACTTCTGGAGAAGGCCCTCCAAGTAGGAGGGGAAGCACTGCAATGCAGTGTCTCCCACTCTTAACTCAGATGGTCACTCTAGGAGGATACCGTGGTCAATGGTATTGAAAGCCGCTGAGAGATCCAGGAGTATCAGCAGAGTTACACTCTCCATTTCTCTCAAAGCATTGGTCATTATACAGGGCAACCAAGGCCATTTCCATGCCCAAACCAGGCCTGAACCCTGACTGAAATGGATCCAGATAAACATCCAGGACTGCCTGGTGTTTATTGGCAACCACCCTCTCTAGAACCTAGCCCAGGAAAGGAATATTTCCTACCAGCCCAAAGTTATTAAGGTCTTCTGGGCCAAGGGAGAATTTCTTCAGAAGCAGTTTCACTGCCATCTCTTTCAGAAGGTGTAGGACTGCTCTCTTCCCACCTCCCACCCTTGCCGCAAAAGGCACTAATCACCTCCCTGACACAGCTTGTTGTTCTTTCCTTACTGGTTTTTATAAGCCAGGAGGGGTGGGGATCCAATGGGGACATGGGAGCACAAACCTGGCCAAGCACCTTGCCAGCCTCCTTGAGCTGTACCAACTGAAGCTTGCTCAATACAACCAAATCAGGCTGTGCTGCTGGCATCTCCACAGATCCAATGGCTCCAACTCTGGCATCTAAATAGAACTATTTCATATACTCATTCATGTTACTCTTGGAAAATTTGCATGAAATGCTGTGCGTTTCTCCTCCATCCTGAGGATGTCCTTGTTGCTAGATGGCCTTACCGATATCACAGAAGCTGCCAGGCATGACAGCTGCACCAGCTTAGCCAATAAGGACACTGCTGCTTGGTGAATACATCGTCCCTTGAGAATGTGACAAAGGAAATACCTGGCGTTGTTGTTTTGCTGCTAAACCAGTCAATCCAGGGCAGTGTTCTCTTCATTCCAAGGTTATAAGTAAATGAGTGCAGTGCAGAACTTCAGTTGCCTCAAGCAACGGAAAGTGCAAGAAAGCATTCAAATGAAGATACGGAGGCCACCAAGCCCAGGGAGGTTGGTGCAGCTTCCTGGGTGTCAAAAGGATGTCAATGGTGTCAAAAGGCCTACGGCATGGTCTGAAGGCACATGAGCCATCCCCCATGTTGAAGCTAAGCAGGTCTGGGGCTCCTGAGCTTGGAGGGGAGATGTCTGGGAACCATGTGTAGCCCCCAGGAAGGCAGGCAGGCAGGAAGGAGGGAAGGCAGGCAGGCAGGCAGGCAGGAAGGGTGAGTGGGACTAGGACTTGCCAACTCTGGCAGGTCTGGGGTTAGGGGGGCTAGAGTCCACTTTGACACCTGCCTGTTCTTATGTTTAACACCACCCAGTGAACAATTTACACTACAGCCCCTTCTTTGTATCCCACAGCATTATCCCAATATTTATGCAAAATGCATTTTCCAGTGTAGAGGCACATGCTAACAATTTGCACTGTGATCTTGTTTCATACACAAATGCAATTGTGGGAGGAGTTAGAAAGGTGATGCATGAGGGGACTTGCCCCTGTAAATTCCTTCATGCTTTTAACACCCATCATGAAGCTTATGAGTCTTCAGGTTGTCCGTAATGCTACTTTCCCATCTTTCCAGGGGACTGTGGTTTTGACACAGTGGCATCCCAGGATGATGGATCCATATCACCCTAGTGCCCCCCCCCCCACACACACACACACAAAACACTCAGGTGGCTCTGCACCTGAGAATTCCTCCATCATTTTGCATGCTATGACTACCACGACCAGTCGGGCATCTTCTTTTTCTGATTAGCAGTCAGATTTTTTTCCTCATCATTTAAATCAATGATAAGAGTGGTCTGGGGAATAGCTGTGTCCTTGGCCAGTGAGGTGGTCTATTGTATAGCTTGGCTCCATGGGATACTTAGGAGCAGATTGCGAGGAGCCACCAAAATATGTGTTCTTCTGAAACCCTCCAGGAGCACACCCTACAGCCTGGAGTGCCTTTCCAAGAGCAAAGCATGGAGGCTTGGCGATCAACATGAGGCTGCTCGATATGGCAAGTCAGAGGCAGATAAGACAAGTGATACTTCTGCCATCAAGAGCATGCCAGTGTTCATGCCATCAGTGAGCATGCCACACAAAAGCCAAACAGTCAGCAATTGGGCGAACAGGTGGTTTCAAGGGGAAAATACTTGGATTTCTGGGAAAGTGCAGGGGGCCAGGTGTGACTCTGAAGTTCTGCAGTTCTGCCCTATTTAAATAAAAAAATTTCAACCTAAAAAAAAAAAATTTCAACCTAGAAAAAGATGGTGTTGGTAGGTCTCCATTATGCTTAGTTTCCATTTACTTAACACGTTCCCTCTTCATATTTTTTAAAGGAGCAGCAAGAGGTGAGATGCTAGAATTTTGCACACCACTATGAAGTGGAACCAGTTCTCCAGGGTTCAGCCCTTGCGCATCGGTTCGCATGGAGGGGCAACTGCATACATTGTGCTCGGCACCACTGCAGTTCACCCATTTAGCTCCATATAACACTTGACACCAGCGTAGCTTTTCTGGACAGGCACAGGTTCTCTTCCATGTCCTGCACGAAAAGGAGCCGGAGGTTGTATTTTTCCATTCGACCGATGGTGAGATTCTGCCACCTTGCTCCAGCCAAGGAGGGCAGCCTCTAATTCGCTAAGCCTCATTTCCCTTTGTGTGCAAGCAACCGGGGCGGGGGACAGGGGAGGGAATGCTCTCCCTTTATTCAAACCAGGAAGCTAATGAATTTATTTTGAGCGATCACAGCATGAGGGATCGTCTCTGAAAGAACATGCTTATGAGTTTATATAGGGCTTTTCCTCTTCTCCCCTGGCATCATGGAACTGCCCTCCTTGGAATACAATAATTCCCAGTGGATCCAGAAGGAGCCAGGTAACTAACTGAGGATGCTTGTATGCTTGCAGAGGAAAAGCACCATTAGAGATGCAAAGGAACCAGAAGCATTTTGTGGGGACAGAGGATGGCCAGGGAGCTGTCACCAGGGCCCCATGTAGCGCTTTTGCTTATTCTGAAATCAGCTCCCACTTATACCTGTGGGTTGAGACTAAACACCCTCTTCAGGTTGAATATTAAATAGCTTCCCTGTTGTGCAGCTAAGGAAGGACTTGGAAAGCAGTTTTCTAGATGTTTATGGCTTTGGCATGGAAGAAGGAATAGAAAGGGCAGGATCATGGATTCTAATTCTGCTTGTAGGAAGGAAGTCATGGTTAGAACATCAGGGCTCTTTACCAGGGGCAGTCCCTGTGTTGAAGCACCTCTCCTTGGCAAAATCAGCATCTCTGTCTCATTCCCACGTTGCCTTTGAAGAATGTTAATGTTTTTGGAGTGAGCTGGTAGCCCTGACCCCCTTCAGGCATCAGCTCCCTTCCCAAGGAAAGTGATTCTTTGACCAAAGGGCTGGAGGCAAATGCATACCTCCAGAAGAGGATAGCAGCAGAGTTGGGAGGTGCCTATAAGGCCACTAAGTCCAAACCCCAGTCCTCTTCCACATGCGGTCACCCATCTTCAGGCATCCACCTTTCCAGCCGAGCAAAGGTGACTTGACATGTGTTAGGAAAATGCGGATAAATCTTGGCAGAAAAGGGCTGTTTATGTGTGCCTTTGTGTTATAAAATCAAACCTGCACCCCTTTCTGAGAAAGCACCGGCATTCCAAGCCAGGTCACCATTTAGTGCTGCTGTTACTTTAAGAAGACGGAATTCTTAGCTGGACTGAGAAGCTGCTGTAGGCTAACTCTATAAGTGAGGAAATACCTGTGTTCTCATCAGCTGCAAAAAGGCTGAAACAACAGAAACATTTGTTTCTGAATGGACCCAGGTAAGCATCTAGTCCCACAGAGGCAAGCGCCTGCACAGTGTAGTTGTCAAACCAGATTTCCTGAATGATTCTTCAATCAGATACATTTGCATGTTTAAGCACGATCCAAACTGCAAAGAGGTCTACTCAATTGACAGGTCAAGCAAGCAATCAGTAATGTTTTCCATACTATTGTTACTGGTATTTCTGATCTGTTTAGAACATTATGTCATGCCTAAAGACATCAGGATGCTATTGTACCTACATTATCTGGAAACTTAGCAGTCTGTATTGATCTATGTGACCAGCAGATTATAAAAGTGTCTGTACATGGGCTGTGATTTTGTTGCAGGCAGTGAGAGCTAGTACCTGGTAGCATGCTGTGGTAAGTAACTGCAGGGGTCCTGGGTGATCTTTCAATAAAACTGCTGAGGTTCAAGACGAAAGGGGTCTTTCCTGACTGAACCTGGTTATCCTGTGTTGCAGCTGCCATCAAAGCTGCCCAACACTTGCCAGCTTGATGGATAGTTAGTGTGTGTGTAAATAAATGCCTGTACACACCCTGTACATTCCACACTTTCACAGACTGCTACTGGTGGTGTATATTTAGAATGGCAACACTGTCACTTGCTTAACTCAAAGTACAAGCACTCCACTGGTTTTAAAATCAGTGCAAAATGAAATAATATACTATATCCGAAACTCAGAAGAGTCTCCATCAATGTGTAAGAGGGGGGCAATAGACCCATAGTTGTGTGCTGTCCCCCCATCAATTTTCCCTGCCCCTTAATTTTTTTACAAGCCACCTTGGGATTCTTGTAAGAGAAAAACAAGTATACTGAAGTAGTAGTAGTAATAACAATAACAATAACAATAACAATAATAATGAAGTGATCCTTTGAGAATTTTCAGCATGTTTTGCAGCTGTGCAGTATTGGAGGATATGGGATCAACAGTTTGGAGTTCAAACTTCAAACTTTTGGGGTATAAACTACTAGAAATGATCCATTACCATCAGATCAGAATGTGCATGTAATTATATGGTGTATCAATTACGTGTAACTTTCAGTAGCAGTCCAAGACATTTTGTTGGAGGAAGTATTATCCAATGGCAATCGCCACCAGCAACTTCAACAGTTTTAAAAGTTTTGCTACACCAATCAGATGCCAAGTTCTGGCTTTTGCCATCCACAGGGCAACTTAATACAGGCTACTGCCCCCTACAAGACCAAAAACATCCCACTGCTGCCCACGCTTCTGTTGCTTCCCCGGGTTTCTGATCAGGTCTAAATACATGATGCAATTCTTCTCTCCATTTAGTAGCTTCCCAGTTTCTCACATGATTTTTACTCACTCAAAGTGATCCGTCACGTTCAGGTAAGTCACAGCTTGGTAAACAGCCATCTCTGTTAGTCAATGGGCAATGGTGGACCCAGCATTTCTAAATCTAGACATGAAGGGAGGGTCTGCATGATACTTTAAACCAGCCTTGGGCATAAGCCACACAGTGTGGATTAAATGCCTAAGATCCCACAATGTGCACAACAGACTACCAGACGCATTGTGGGTAGCCTGGCCAGCAGCCTCCTCCCCGCTTGGTCTTCCCATGGGAATCCCAGGGGTTTCCTCAGGAGCACCAAAATTACCCTCTCCTACCACCACAATTCTGAGCTGCTGATATGAAGCCCAAAGATGTCCAGGTGGCCCTGGGAGGGCAGCTGCCAGAAGCTTGTACAGATTCTGCAGCAGCCACAGGAGGAAGAGACCTTCTCCCTGGCAGCAGCTCAGAAGAAGACCTGTCAAGCCATTGGTAGGGATGCCCCCATGCCACCACTGTACAGTGCACGGGATCCTGTACCATCTTGAGAGGTCTCTTCTGGAGCTGACCACAGGAAACTGCTCTTCCTTAACACTGAGAAGCCGTTTCCTGCTGACAGCTGAAGAAGAAACCTCTTGAGCTGCCAGCGGTGTTGCACCTGTTCTGCACACCACTGCCATGCCAAGACCAAGAATGAGCATGACAGAGGGGTACAGGGAGGAGGTACAGGGAATGAGCATGACAGAGGGGTACAGGGAGGAGGGAAGCACCCCACTGCCATGCCAAGACCAAGAATGAGCATGACAGAGGGGTACAGGGAGGAGGTACAGGGAATGAGCATGACAGAGGGGTACAGGGAGGAGGGAAGCCCCTGGCAGCCACCCCAAGTGCTGCTGGGACACATTGGGAGTGGTTGTCAATAGCATTCGCTCAGAACCACTTGGTGGGAGCATCTAGTGGATTTTGCCACTCCAACCAAGCTGCTCTCTTGTAGTTGGGCTTGATCCATGATGGATCTTGCTGTCTGGACAACATGGCAACCCATCGGGGATCAAATATACTCAACTACAAGCTATGGGTTTTCAAGGTGGCTTTTAACTCAAAAGTAAACCACCCTGACAAACCCATCCCAAGTTCTTACTCCATAACAATCCTTCTATGGCTTATAAACCACAGGGCGTTGTCATGTCATGTAAACAATCAGTGAGACCCAGGATTTTGGAAAGAATGGAGTCCAGGGAAGAACTAGGTAGGGCTGCCAGTTGCCATTTTGGTTTCCTGGCAGGGAAAAGAGGAAGATGAGGTATTTCATCTGGCTGGTTATGGTTGGGAAATTCAGACATTATAGCTCTGCGGAAAGGATGCAATAGCATGTGATGGGCTGGGATTTCTTTCATTTGTTTCTATTGTTTTTTATGGGAAGAGCCAATTACATGTAACTGGCAACAGTTAGGAACAGGATGTCTTAGGACATATTTGTGATCTAGAAGAGCATATCTTTAAAGGTTACGAGATCTGTTAAATCTGCCTTAAGAGTCTCTTCCAGCTGAGGTTTCTCTTTTGCCATCATGCTGCCTCATCCATGGAATTTTACAGGGGCCCAGACAACTCCATTGTCAGAAATTTGCCCTCTACATTTTTCTTACCATGAAAAAGGTGTTAAAAGGCAGGATCACTACATGATGCCTTCTGGTGGTTAAGACAGGAGCCCTGTGTCTTGAAGCACCCCCATTTAAAGATGTTTGGGGGGTTTGTTTTTGTTTTTTGAAAAATTGGTTGCATTCAAATGCAAATATATGCAAAACTGATTACCCAGCTAAATAATCCATACAAATGTCCTTAATCAACAGCTCTAGTTTCTCTATGGTTTTAACTGCTGCAGGGCAGGCAGAGTTTCAATAGGTAAGGCTATATCCAGGAGCAATACCTTCATACCAGATGTGTGGATTGTTTGCTCTTTGTGTGGGCAATTTAAGGAAACAGGAACCTTGCCAGAAAGGGTGGCAGGACTAGGGTGAGGGCAGGAGGAGATGCAAGAGGTCACAGACTGTAGGAGAGAGCTGGGATTTGGAATTCCCCTGGTGTGCAATGGATCCAAGAACTGGCACTTGCAGATCACATCCTTGGATTCACGAAGAAGGAAATGCCACAAGCCCTGCCCTTTCACCCAGGGTATGAAATTTTATAGCGCACAGGCTGCGACTGGAGCAAAACAACCTGGCCTGAAAGTAGCAGGAGCAGAACCTCTCGGAGGACACGACGAGATCACAGGGGCCGAATCAGGAGTCGAAGGGACCATGCCCACGCCGCTCTCCCGACTGGTGGTATGGCTGCTGCCACTGTCTCTGCTACAAGGTGATTGATAAATGTGGGGACATGTGGGGTGAGCCAATGCTTATTTAATCCTGTGCAGTTTGCAAGGATATAAACAGGAGGAGGGTGTAAAAGGGTGTGTTACCTAAGATAAAGGGGAGGATTTCTTTTGTTTTGGTTCTTGGTAGGAAATGTGGACAGTGAGGCATCTCCCCTCCTCAGAGCTCCCAGGGCTTAATTTCTCAAAGCAAAAGAAGTGGAGGGGGCACTTATGCAAAGTCACATCTTCTTCCCAGCCTCTTCCCTTCTCCAAATCACAGATCCAGGCAGAGCTGATTCAGCTGGGGATACACAGTGGCAGGCAAGGAAAAGCCTGAACATTCTCAGAGGCATCCTGGAAACAAAGATCAGCGAGGTGGACACCACAGAGGGTTGCAAAAGTCCTTTTGACATACCCTTTGGTGCTTTCCAAAACATTTGTCTTGAGGGCAGAGAATTTGGAGTGAAAATGTGCACATTTAAAAACCCCAAGCCCTCTCTTCTCCTGATGCTGTGGTGAGAACAGGTTCAACGTAATCCCTGTTTTAGATACTTTAAACAAATAGGTATGAAGAAGTTCTACACTGAAAACCCAACTCTATTTCCATTACCAGCGGGTTCATCTCTCTGGCAGATTGAAAGAAGAGAGCAAAGAAACACACCTTTTTATTCAAGGTTATTTGTTTATTGCACATATACGCTTCTTATCTTCTGACGAAAGCAAGATTTATGATCTCACATCCAGGCGCTGACCACACCTAGATCAGTTTCGCTTCAGGGCTATTCCTGTGGATATCCATCTAAATAGAATTAATTAAAAATTAAGAGAACTCTGCAATAATAGATATGGATAACTATATAGATTTTCCTGTCCATATATCCCTTGTTTCAATGTCAGGACTTGGGTTTATGGAACTCCCTGCCATATGGTTACAGATATAGTTGTTCATTTCATTATTTACTGGCCAAAAGCTGAGGCTCTCTAGGCAGTTCACCAAAAATTAAAATCTTAAAATACGTTGCAATACAATGTCAAACATTTAGGGTGCGGTTCTCTGGGGATGTCTGCAACCCTTCCAATTCAGAGGGTGAGAAAGCATGGAGGCAGAGGTCACCTCTGCGCTCTTCTCACTCTGCAAAGCACTTCAGAGCTTGAGGGCGGGAAGCCAGGAGCATACCTTGTAACTTGGCAGTGCCGGTTCCTCCTCTCCCACTTGGGCCAGCGGAGGTCTTGCACCCATCCCACTTGAGCAGCCCTGTGGGTAACTGTTTTGCCACCACGCGTGCAAACTAGAGGGACCCTTGGTCTGATCCGGCAGGGCTTTCTTACGTTCCCCAGAATGCCTCCGAAAGCCCTTCTCCAAGGCCGTGCATATGACCTTGGAGAAGCAGCGGGTGCTGTTCTTCCTCTGCCAGCTGCAGTGGGGTTGAAGGGGAGGGTCCAAGGGCCCAGCTACAAGCTAAGCATAAAAATTCCAAAAACTCCTATGGCCATCTAGCAGGCACTGAATTATTCTGTTGCAAGCTTAACTTTGCAAAAAATAAAAACTGGAATAAATGCTCACAGAAACATAAAAATCTGAAACACGGTAACAAACTTTTAGAAATAAAAGCACGGGATTCAAATGGTGGAACACAAAATGCTGTTCAGCTGGTGTCAAAAAGACTGCAATGTAGGTGCTGAGCAAGCATGTCTGAGAAGGACTACCTCAATTATAAGCTTTTAAGCACTGCCACCAAAATAAACCCTCTGGAGCTTCTAGAAAAGCTACCAGTGCATGGGCCTGACACAACCACTGTAAACAAGATGACCAAAACTAAGGTACTCCTGAATGGTGCAGTCTATAGCATTGCCACCTGCTACATAGAAATCTTCCTCTCCAGGCTTCCACGTGTCCTGTGCCTGCCCAATCACCTGCCAGTTGGGTCACAGGAGCACTGGAAGAGGCTTTTGCCACTGCATCCTACTTAAACCTCCCTGAGCTCATCTAGGGGAGTTGTGTTGCTACATCAGGGCCTGGAGAAGCTACATGATAAAGTGGATCTTGTCCTCTTCTCTGCCAACTGGTCCATCATCAACATCCATTCTGATCTCTTTTGGTCACTTTTGCAACCTCAGAAAACCAAGAGCAAACATCTTAAACATATCTAGATCGCGCCTTTAGTTAGGTGGCAGTGTAACCTTGCCCTGGTGTTTGGATTTTCCTCCCATGCTTAGTTGCTTTTCCTACCTTCCTCAGGCCTAAACTAGATGATACTTTTGATGTGAAACTGCTTAATATCTGTGCCAGCTGAAGTGGTGAGGAGTGTCTGTCATAACACATGATGGTCCCAGCTACATATGCATCTATTTCCCATGCTTCGTTCCAGCTCTTTGCTTGTGCCCCTACGAACATCAGCTGCTGCCCTGCACTTACCATCCAGGATATAATTTTCCATTTCATTCTCAGTGTTTCCTCTCGCGTGCCTCTTTTCAACTCTAGGATGCACCAGGATTTTATTTATTTATTATATTTCTATCCTGCCAATTTGGGACTCTAGGCAGCTCTCTGTGAAGCGTTTTGTCTGCTATATTCCTGGAGCTTCTGCTTCCAGATTCTTGGTTGGAATAAGAACTGCTCCTTTACACATTTTTTTAAATTTTATTCTGGAGTGAATAAGACAGGCATGTAATGGTCTATGATGGGGCACATCAGCTGTTCTAACAGCACCAAAGTTTACTGAAGGTGTTTTTGCTTTTTAAGGCGTTTCACATTTTCTATAGGAATTTTATGCTGTACAAAATTCTGTGATTGCAGGTTCACAGGTGCAGAATAAATCCTTTGTGTAAAGAAGCGCATGGAGTGCATGGGCCGTAATGCCATCTTGAGATTCATAGCTCCTGGGCCTATGCACACAGCTGGTTGCTCTAACCATTGCAAACCACAGGAAGTATTGCCCATTGAGCATTAGCTGCCAAAGTGCTTCTCCATCTGCCTCATCCTCATCTTTCCAGCCCTGACATCCAGAGCGGGTTCCAGAGCACAAGGCCTGATGAACCCTGGTTCAAATTAAGCATCCTCGCAATTTGGCTAGAAATGCATAATCCTCACATGTTTGTCAGCAGTATTTAATTTTATCAACAGACAAGGAACGGTTTGCAACACGAGCTTTCCCCATTTGCTCCCATTGCAAAACTACTTTTGCATGTGTCTTCTCCACAAAGGCTCTGATCTGATCTGACCTACCTTCCTTTTGTTTGCCTTCCCAGGTGCTGCTAACGCAGAAGCAGGTAGGTGATGATACTGGAAAGTGTATTCATGCACTTCTGCACAGCAATTTCAAAGGGGGCAGAGGGAGAGGCAAACAGGGATTTGCCTGGTTTGGATAAACAGGGATAAACAAAAGCGGAGTGTCAGAAAAAGGCAGGACTGGTACAAACCTAAAGGCTGCCCAGCCCAACATCCGTCCTATCTTAAGACAAGTCCCTCTTTAAACTGCACCACCGCTTACTGTCAGATCCAGGACGGAGGAGGCAGGTAAGTATGACGGGTGCCAGGACTAGGGGTGATGGAGATCCTGGCATGGTGCTTAAAGGTGTCAGGGACACCTGAAAGGGCAGCCCCAGATTGTATGCTCAGATCCATAGGGAGACACCTTCTTCTCAAAGCTCATTCGATTCATTGGTGAGAACAACCCAGGTGAACCCCTCTGCCAAGACAAACCTTTACAACAGCACTGCCAGGTAGAGGTACGCCCACCAACTACAAGTTTCCAGAACATGTGCCGAGTGTTTTATAGGTTTCTAGTCACTTACGGAGGAGCAGGGAGGATGATGGGGGAAGAATCGGCACTAATACAGATAAAATATTCAGGCACGGAGCAATATGAGAAAGCTGCAGAGGGAACATTACATAATGTACAGTAAATATCAGTAATTAGCAGAGTATTTATATGACAAACAGAGAAGACATATGGCAAATAGAGAAGAAAAAGACATGAGTCACAACTGATACTGGTTGTGGGTATTGACATGCTGGAGCAGAAAGAACAAGTCAGGGTTTGATACTTCACAATTCTTCTCCAGAGCCTCCTTAACAAGGCTCTCTGCATTCCAGAGAGGATTAACTCTGCAACTAACTTTGCAACCCTGTAGAAGCTGCCTCAGGCAAGCCGAGAGCCTCAGTCTCTTAAAGGGACAGATATAGAATGATAAAGTTTCACGGAAAAGGAGCCTGACTGAGAATTCTGGTTCTTTCTGGGCAAGGAGCAGGGCAGGGACACTGCCTGTTTGATTTTATATCACAAAAGCACATACAAGCAACCTTTCTCTAGAAAGATTGATTTGGATTTTGCCAACAAAGGCTAGATGAAATCAGGAACAAGCAAGGGTCAGATACCCAGCAAGGCCTGGCAGGTCTGGAGGTAAAGGCAAGGATCAGGTGCCTGGCAAAGCAGGGGTGGATTGGAGGAAGAGCCGAGTCAGAAGCAGGCAGGAGCCAAGTCTCGGCTGAAGGGATGCCCAGCAAAGGCGGAATGCATGCTCAGGAAGACAAGGTGGACACCACGAAGGCTTGTGTTGCATTGGCTAAGCAAAGCAGTGCAGGAAAGCCTTTCCTAGAGCCTTCCAGAGCTGCCAGCTGGACTGCAGGATTGCTCAGGCTCCAGTCCTTGCAACTTCCGTAGAGGTCTCATCCTGGTCCTGCAGGCACTTGCCCAGTGGAACAGGCTGCCCCTTTGCAAACATGTCATGCCATGGCTTCAGATCCTTGGGAGACCATCCAATGTCCTGTGCTTCAGGTGCCTGTAAGCCCCTTAGAGGCATATTGAGATCCAGTGCACAGAGCAAAGTGTGGCAGTGAGAATCTCCACCACTGCTGCACCCAATGCCCCATATTTTATTTGGACAGCCATTTTCGGCTTTCTAGACAAAATTCTGGGGAGGGGGAAAGAAGGAGGTTTGGAGCCCACAGGGAACAGCATGAACCTCCTTCCCTCACAACATGCCCCTTTTCCTCCTCGCTGAGACTGAGCTGGAGCTTAGGGGAGACAGCTGACATGGGTCTTTCTGCATCAGCAGGGAAAGCCGTGGGGTTGGGGGGTCCCCATTCATGATCCCAAAGCACAGGCTGTGAAAAATCCTAGGGTGCCTCAGACACTGTCAAGAGGCCATAGGATTGCGCCTTTATAGCACAATGCTCTGCATGATTAGATAGGAAAAAGTGGGGAATGCTGGAAGTGGGTGGGTCCCAACAAGCATTTTCTGTCCAAATGAGCCTTTAGATGCAACTTAGCCATGTAATACTGATTCTGGGTTACAAACAAAGAGCAGGAATAAATGAGAGGCCCCATCCTAGCCATTTCCGGAAGGGTTTGGTTGAACTATTCACAGAGTCAAGCCGCATGCTATAAAGGGAAACCTTCATCTTCCCCAACCCATCCGCCTGACTGGAGGCTTGAGTTTCTCTTTGAGAAAATGTCTCCCCACTCTTAGCAAAAGCTGAAGTGGGACCCAAAGAAAATAGGGGGTGGGGAAGTTCCACATTTGCCTCAAGTCCCAGGGACGCGTGTTACGTGGGGAAAGGCATGCTAGCATCCCAAGCTGGGAAAACTGGATGCTACCATATTTGGTCCTTAGGCTAGAATCACTATGCTGTCTTTTTTTACGGGGCATCTGCACAAAATCATTGCCCCAGCAACATGGTCCTAGCATCTCCTCCTCTCCTCCCTTCTCGACACAGCCTGCGGGCAGCCAGTGATATCTCCGCGGATCGTTGGGGGGCAACCAGCCTCCGAGGGGTCCTGGCCTTGGCAGGTCAGCATCTTACACAACTATGAACCAGTTTGTGGAGGTTCCCTCATATCTGAGCAGTGGGTGGTGTCTGCAGCTCACTGCTTTTTCCAGTGAGTACCTGTTACATGATTTTTGGGTAATATTTTTATTAGTTTCTAAAATAAAATCTAAAATACAAGCAAGGGGGAGGGGAGGGGAGGGGAGGGGAGGGGAGGGGGGAGGGAGAATGGCATGGCATACAAACCTTCAAATATTTCAGGACTTTCCCTTCTTCCAAAACGAATGATTCTTTTGGCAGCTCAGATCCTTTCCCTTTCTTTAAAACTTACTCAATAAATACACCCCAAATCTCATTAAACTTCTTTTTATCTGGCCTTTTCTCACTTTAATATCACATGTTAATTTGTCATCAGTAGCTATATTCCAAACTTCTCTATACCAATCAGACAACTGGAAATCATTTTGTTTTCCAATTCTTAGCTATAATTAGTCTCACTGCAGTTATTAAATTTGTTATTAATTCTTTATTATTTCAACTTTGCTACATGAAATTCTCTGCCAGCTTTTTCCCATAGGCAGCAGCTAGCCCAGCCTGATATTTATCCTTTGCAGCCAGGGACTTGGGCTCACCCAGGCAGGGCCAGGAAAATCAGTGAAGAAGAGCATGGTGAGAAGCAGTAGGTGGCCAGCAGAACTGCCGGCCAAGGGAGAGCAAAGGGAGCTCCCGTCCAGAGACAACTGGGATGCAATCAGCCAGAGAGAACACGCTGCTCCTAAGCAGCCGATTGCTCAGATGGAGTAAGGAGGCCCCAGTCAGCGGCTTTGTAGGACCAGGCCAAATGCCATTACACAGAATTTCAGAATTTACATTCTGAATGCTTCCTAATTTGAGGATTGGGTGAGGGATGGTTCCTTCTTAGAAAAAGAGAAGTGTAACCATAGGAAACCAGAACCTTCCTGAAGAGGAGAAGGAGGGAAAAATGGATATTCCAGATCCAAGATCAATTCAGGAAGGAAAACCAATCACAAGGAATGGGAAGTTCCAAGCTCTTGGTTCTGAGACATCAAGAACTGCTTTGAGGATTCGGTTTGGGGGATTTGGGATACTGGTAAGGGAAGGCTATAGTTAATTCTAATAATAGGTCTGAAAACAATTCGCAGCGGGTCATAAAAAGTTGAATCTGTAGCCTAAAGTCAGCTTTGCTTCTGGAAATTTAGCATAATAAAAGCCCACTGATTAGAGGACCCTTTCCATTGATTGCTGCTAAAGAGGAGAATCAGAGAAGCAACCTTGATGCTGCCTATGTTACATTTCCTTTATTCATTCACTTCCAGAGCTTCAGGTACATTTAAAGTGCAACTAGGAGCCTACAAACTCGCTGACCCCTCTCCCAACATGATCATATCAGACGTAGAAGAAATCATCTCCCACCCTGACTATGCTGGCTATGATGGTTCCATGGGGGATATTGCTTTGATGAAGCTGAAGTCCCCTGTGAATTTCACAGACTACATCCTTCCGATCTGCCTGCCGGATGCCTCTGTCAATTTCTTCCCGGGAGAACGCTGCTGGATCACTGGATGGGGACAGATTCTCCAAGGAGGTAAAACATTTGTTGTTGCATTTAAATGCTGAGGGCTAAACTACACCTGTCCTTCTTCACAGCTTTTTTAAAAGGTGCTCATCCTGGACAGTTCTATTTTTTAAAAAAATTGCAGCTGTTCAGCCCCAATCTGGAACTTGCTCCCTATCCAAATGAAAGCTTACACTGGTTTTATGCTGAAACTTCCTCCCTTCCAGCAGTTCTTTCTTCCACCACAAGGATGCTGCAATTAACAACTCCAGGGGACAATAGGCAATCAGATGAGAACTGGCTTTCAACAGAAAACCTGTGTTCAGTCCCAGCCTGAACTGGAAGCACATTCCAGTTGAGGCCCCTCAACTGTTCTTGCTCCAGACTATTTGTCCACCGCTCACATGCTTGATTTAAAAGCATGAATGATATCCCCATTGCCTGCCTACTCTTTCTCTCTAACACCATTAGTGTAAATCAGTTGGATCCAGACTGAGTCATACTTAATCTGTGGAAATCAATGGGATTTAAGTTAGTGATGAGTAGCTTACATCTAGCTGATGTCATCAGGATACAACTCATGCTGCTTTATAAGACATCGGGTGTCAGGGCGGAGAGATATAAATCCTTCAAAGAAGTTATCTGAAGTTTTCCATGGTTGGGCTGATGAGGAGAGAGTCTGGAATGGTAGAACATATTTGCAGTCTTTCTGAAATAGTGACACTGAAAACATTGTGCCTGTTCATATGCACTGGAAGCCCCCTGTCCTTGAGTTCCACATATGCAAAGCTCTCCCATGTTTATCTTCTCTAGAGAGTCTACAGGCCCCACAAACTCTTCAGGAACTTGAAGTGCCAATTATAAGCCGAGATGAATGTAATAATCTGTATAATACAACGGATGAGATGAATCCTATCAAGGCTGATATGATCTGCGCTGGATACCCAGAAGGTGGGAAGGATGCCTGCCAGGTAGGAATGCATTGCTTGTGAATAGTTTTCTGAAACATATTTATATTTTAATAACATTTCCGTCTGTGTGCTGACTGATTAAACGGGGCAACTTTTTCTCTTTCAGACTCTAACTGAATGCATCCTCTCACTATAATAGAAGTTAAGGCTTAAGTCATGCCTTAGACTGTTCAAAGTAGTTTTCCTATAAGCCCTGCATTCTGTATGCTTGAAGATGGCATAATATACCTCCATACTGAAATGCATGCCAATTATATTGCCTGCCAGTTATCTGTTTGGCCTCATGTACAGGTGTGTTCCCTGGGATTCCTGTAAATGCGGATGAGAAACTGGGGTGGTGGAACCTCCTATTTAGCTGGAGGGAGCCCTTTTATTCGCCCATCATTTTAAATGTTGGGGATTTTAATCAGCTTTTAACTTCATAGTCGCTTTTTGGTTTTTGATTTTGCTCGTATTCTTGATATTGATTTTGTTTTGATTTTCCTTCATTGGTGAAATGTTATTGTTTTTGTGTGCATATTTAACTATTTAATTATTGTTAATCTGTCAGATTGCTTCCTTTGATTTTTGTAAGCCTCCCTGAGACACTTTTGTGTATAGGGTGGGGTAAAAAGGTAAAGGTTTCCCCTTGACATTAAGTCCAGTCATGCCTGGCTCTAGGGGGCGGTGCTCATCTCCGTTTCCTAGCCGAGGGAGTCAGCGTTTGTCCGCAGACAGACTCCGTGGCCATGTGGCCGGCATGACTAAACACTGAAGTGCACAGAACGCTGTTACCTGCCCACTGAAGTGGCACCTTTTTATCTACTTGCATTTGCATGCTTTCGAACTGCAAGGTTGGCAGGAGCTGGGACGGAGCAGCGGGAACTCAGCCCCTTGTGCAGATTTGAACCGGTGACTTTTCAATCAACCAGCACAACAGCACAGTAGTTTAAACCACTGCGCCACCTGCAGTCCCCATAGGGTGGGGTATAAATATTTTAAATAAATTAATTAAATAAATGTAGGGATTGGGCCCAGTCCTCTCATAAAAGAGCCTTCAAAGGTTATAGTCCCAGATTCTGGATCCAATAAAGATGGGCCAGGATCCACATGCGACACGCCATGACTAGAAGACCCAAAGATACGCCATGCAGTGGCTGAGGACCAGAGAGTTTCCATTTCTGAGGAAACATTCAGTGAGCGGCCTCATGCCAATGGTGTGGAACTAACATTATTAATCCAAGAATATAGTGCCAGACTAAGAGGACAGATCAACGGAGAGGCATCAGGTACTCCAAAGAGCTGGCCTTGAATCAGGAGGGCCCACTTTGGAGGCATGCTTTGCTCTTTTCAGCCCAAAAATGGGGAGAGGTATTCAGTTTGGAATCGACGTCTTATCATCAAGCTGCACTTCCCTAGTGGCCAGTTTTCAAAGTCAGCTTGTTTCTTTTGTTCATTTCTGCAATATTCGTCTTTCACACTATGGTGCCAGCCTAAGTGGTCAGCCATTTATTTAGAAAAGTCTGTCTTGCCCTGCTTGGAAGGGGAGAAGAATGGCTTGTGCTGAACACATGACCGGCTGGGACACGGTCAACATGCAGTGGGTGTAGCTAGCAGATGCCATCCTTCTAATGCCTCCTCTTTTCCCATGTTCAAAGCAAGTGAAGAGGGGCTCATTATCCCAGCTGACCTTACAGTCCAGTCTGAAAGAGCATATCCCATTATCCCCAATATAATTGGTGGTTTGTCAGAGGCTACCTTCCTAATGTTGTCCATGGGGTAGCGAAGAGTCAGGGACAACTTTGCAACTGAACAACACCTTCCTGATACATTGCTGAGATGAGACTTAAACCTTATCCCAACTGCCTCATCTGACCAGATCTCTCAAACCTGATGTCAAAAGGCCTCCCATGACCATGCGCTAACTTCTGTCTTACTTTCACAGGGTGATTCCGGGGGGCCTTTGGCTTGCAAAAGAGATGCAGTTTGGACCCTGGCTGGGGTTGTGAGCTGGGGGGATGGCTGCGCCAAACCAAATCATCCTGGAGTTTACACCTTGGTGCCTTTCTATGCTGACTGGATACAAGATACAATGGCTGGTAATGGCGGACTTCACAAAACCCTCACAATGACACTCCTCTTCATGTCCCTTGCACTCAATCTTCTATGAGATAACTCTCTGCCTAACAGCGGAAAATCTTTTGGAGGTATATTAAAGAGTCCAAAATCAGTACAGGCATTTGAGGCTTCAGGAACTTTATCCAGTTTGGTCAGATTCATTTGGGTACTTCTGTTACCCCTTCAGATTGTCTAAAAATAATTGAACAGCAAGTTAGCTGTGATAGTTTACCCTGAAGAACACTGGGAATTATCACTTGGAAATGGTGCTAAGAATTTTCATCCAATTATGGATGTTGGTTTCTAAAGTCATTATAACACTAAAACTAATGCTTAACATTCATACTTTAATGTTTAGGCAGTGTTTCCTGATGGACAACTCTGACTACTACCAATCAGAAGGTATTTGGAGCTATTTAGTTAATGGAACTTCTCTGGGAAGGAACAAGATGGACTAAATGGCAAGAAAATGCAATGGAAGATAGCATCCTCTAGATCCTTGTAAAATGTTGTGAATAAGGCAAGGTGATTGGACAGAAAAGGCCTTTTCTGAGACCACCCAAAAAATGCTTCCCCAAGATATTTAAACGATGTGGTAAGAAGCAGTGAATAATTTTGAGATTTGGGACATGTAATAAATATTGAGATGGGAATCCATTTGTTTCATTCTGTATTTATTAGTAATTCTTCAAATATGAGGATATTTGTGTCCTTTATACACACTGCATTTACTTCAGCAATACACTCGTATATACCTCTCCTGACCTATGGTATATACAAATACATTGTGGAGAGAGAACACCAAATTTCTCCAGCAGAGGGCAGTACCACAAAACTTGCCACTTAAATATGCAATTCCTGAGTGAAGTATTTCAAATTCTATCTTCCATTCACAGAAACAAGCAAATAAAAAGTCTCACACCAATGAGTTGGCTGTTGTAAGCTGATGGATGCAGCCATCCAGATGTGAAATTGGCCAGGGTTTCTACATCTCCAGTAATTGCATGGGGTTAATTTCCACAGAGCTTATCCTCCAAGCTACAGCTGCTGAAATTCCTTTCTTACAATACTTAATATTAAAGGTCCAGGAGTCCTCTTCTCATTTGCATCTTGCCTCCCTAAGGGTTACTGAGTGGGAGATTGGAGCTCTTGGGTATTCTTTCCTATCATACTCCTTAGCGGTAAAAAATGCTTGCACTTACAATATAGCACGAAACCTTTGCTTGTTTAATAAAAGGCAGAACAGTTAAACCCCCCAGAAAAAAAAATGTATGTGAAAAGGACAGACTATCTCCTCCAGTGAAAACAGAAAAAGAAGCCTCAGTAAACTCTGGGGTAAATTCCTCATGCATAGAAGCGCCGGGAGATCCCATCCCATCCTTCTTTGGCTTCTGCTCCCAGGCAGGAAATAGGAGAAGAGATGGTATACTATTGTTATTGTTTGCTGCCCCTTTCCTACACCGCTCGGTTCCTTTCCCTACAGAATGAAAGTAGTGTTGCAACCATTCTTCAAATCTGTGTTGAGTGTCATGTCTTTAGGCCCCAAGAAGCGAGGGGCAGATGCCCTCCTCCACCAGAGAGTACAACTGGGACATTGATTTCCCAGTCACCAAGGGAAGAATACTCCTACCCCAGAGAAGCAGTTCTCCTTCACTCCATATTTTAGTGATTTTATTTGTTTGTGATACTGATATCCCCCCTTTCTTTTCTTTCAAGGAACTCAAGGTGGCTTACATAATTTCCCTCTTCCTCTAAACAATAGCCCTGTGAGTTAGGTTAGGCTGAGCATCTGTGACCCAAAGTCCCCCAGGGCTGAGGGGAGACTAGAACCCAGCTCTCCTGAGTCCCTGTCCAGCACTCTTAACCTCTCCACCACACTGGTTCCCAACAGCGAGGTCTAGACAGGCACGCTATTAAGAGACAGTCACCAGTTAGGTGTAGAATTTCCATTTCAATGATGCCTGGTTGAGGATGGATACCTACCTACTTACTTAATTTTCTATTATTTTGGGCTTACTTGAATTGGATACATTCTGTAGAAGTACATACTTACTTACTAGATACATTCTGTACACAGTTTTCCTATCCAGAAACAACTGAGAGAAGCATTTCCATCTGCCTCCAAGGTTAGTTTTAGACCATCATTTAAAAACTCTGGCTTCTTCCGCTGCTCATTATTTTTATAACTAGAATGTCTCCACTACCGAAGAGTGGTGTGGAGGAGCCAGAATTCACCGGGACCCAATATTATGAGAGATTAATCAGCAAAGTCATCGATGACATCTGGAACCCCTTATCGGAATTCCTTGTTTCTTCCAAGCTTCGCTGAAATTCTTATAGTAGCTGCTAGGAAATGAATTTCCCAAGAACAAGACACGGTTTCCCCTTGTAGTCCAAGCATTTTGGGGTGGCTTGGTCTTGAATGGGCTCTCAAGGCCTTTTGCCTGTGCAAGTGACCTGCTTCTGGTGAAGGTGAAAATGACCTGAACTGCTGGGATGGATCACCACAGCGGCCACGTGGTACAGCTCCTGGAGGCTGCCATGAGGAGACCCTGCACTTCAGATGTTGCCACTGCTGTTGCCTGAGTAGGGTAATGAAGATGGCAACACAGCGCTCTTTCAAATGGTGCCAAGATGTCTCCTACTTCAGCTCACGAAGATCCCTGTTCAGCCCACCCAAAGTCTCACAGACATTGATCTTGATTTTGAGGCAGGATGGCTCTTCAGAAGTGCAGTGGGAGAGGCTGAGGTGGGTCACGAAAGGACTTTGGCCAAGACCAGGAGAAGGAGCGAGAGGATAGCAGGAGCTTCAGGAGCACTGGGGGCTCGGTTCTGTGCAATGGTGCGCTGAATCCAATCCACGAAGGAGGAGACCCGGGTGTAGATTCCTGGGCGATTGGGCTTGGCACAGTCATACCCAAAACTTACCACCCCCGACTGATACCATGTGTCATTCAGCTTGCAGACAAGGGGTCCCCCAGAGTCCCCCTAGAAAAAGAAAGAGAAATTGACAAGGACTGCTGTCCTGGAAGGATGTGTGAAGTAATTTACTGTATTAGCCAGCTGGCTATGCAGGTCGTGGTTTTCTTGAGACAGTGCAGCTACTATTTTTCCCAGTTGTGACCAGGACTTCCATTTTGCAGTGTTTCTTGCAGCCTGCAGGGGCTTTGCAGTGGTATCTTTGTGGAGCTAGGAAGATTCTCCTCTTCCCCCTGAGCTTCCCTCCGTTTGAACATTTTACAGTCCGAATTTTTTGTAGCACACCTCCCATGAACTCTCCTTCCAATCTGGACTGGTATTTCCTAAGCTTTGTATTGTTAAGCACCTTGTCACAAAATGTGCTGCTATGCTTCTCGGAGAACTTTAATTCGTTTTTTTTACGATGCTTTGTGGTTATTCATTTTTAATAGCCTGGAGCTGCAAGATTGTTCTATTCCCGGACCCATACAGCATGGAAGTATCAAAGTGGAAGCTATAGTTGCTGAAATCTCTCTCTGTTTGGGATTACACTGGATTTACTCATGAACTTGTTTTGACTTTTGGATAGGTCTTGTCAACCCATGTAATGCAGATGTACCAACAAATATTTTGAGGTTGGTGTAAACCTTTGTATGTGTGGATTTGTTCAGATCTTTTTCTAGAGTCTTTAGTTTTGATGGTGTGGGAAGCCAGACCTCAAGAATCAATCAGTCCCTTGCACCATATTGTTCCTAGCAATTCCTTGTTGTGGAATTACTTGAGGAGTGCATTGTCAGCAGCTATATGATATCAGAAAACTGGAACAATTAGGTGTTTACTGTGGGATTTCTTACAGTATGAGTCTCACTCATTTGGGGTGTTCTGTGTCAGAATGTAAGCATGTCTGTTTGAAGGAAAGACTCTCCTTAGGAAAAGTAGAATGAATAAGGATGTGTGAGTCTGAAATTCATTATATGTTTATTTATTATACTGATATCCTGTCTTTCTTCCATTATGGAAGTCAAGGCAATGTTAATGGAATTCCCAGGAAGCCTCTTGGGATTTCAGATCCCATGCAAACATCTTGCAAGACCCCAAACTGGTATTTGGCAGGAGTAGAGAGAGACAGCTGCTGAAAACAGCCTTCATAAATGAATTGTCTCAGGAAAATGCATTGTTTCCTCTTGTAATGACAAGTATTTTGGATTGGATTGGTCTTACATGGGCTCTTAGGACCCACCACCTGTGCAAATGTTCTGCATTCCTGCAAAAGACCTGCACCCTTGCCATGAGGATGTTTCCCCAGCCTCCACCCCAATCACCTTAACATTTCCACACTGCTCAGCTGTAAGTTTCTTACCTGGCAAGCATCTTTCTTTCCCTCTGGATAACCAGCGCAGATCATGTCGCTGTCAATCAGAGTGTAATCCTCTGGCATAGCATAGCTATCAGTTTCATTCCGGTACATTTCATTACACAGCTCAGCATCAATGATCTGCACTTCTACCTCTTGCAAGGTCCGAGCTACCAAATTGACTGGAAAAAGAAAAAGCAGGCTCTGGGATGAGGTACAGACACCAACCCACATGACATGCATTGGGAGCTTCCTACAATCTCCAAAGTAGTGATGTTATCAGAATTGTAGTTACCTGGCTTGGAATACAAAGTGGACACAGCAAAAATAGAGCCCATTTTCCCAAAGAATGGTTGGAATTTCTGATGGGATTCTGCATATGGCAGCATTCCCTGAGAAAACGTGGAAATACGGAACTCAGAAGAGTTTCTTAACCACTACTTAAAATCAAGAAAGTACGACCATATTTCAGGTTCTCCAACTTTTGGGGGATGATGCACATATTTAGCATTAGAAAAGCTGTCCTGAGCTCCATCATCAAATGGATGCCATGGTGTGGCGGGAGAGGCATGGCTAGTCCCAAAGAACAGGCAACCTGTGTAAAAGGCAATGCATCTAGGATTCATGCTTCCTGCTTCTGCAAGGTCCAAGACTCCATGTTGACTAGTAAAAGAAAGAGGAAGTTCTGAAAGAAGGTCCTGACCCACTCACACGACCTCTCAGAGATGTGTGAAATTTGTGCATTGCCAAACTCATTCTTACCTTCTGGCAAGATTTGGCCCCAGCCAGTAACGCAGCAGGCCATCCCTGCAGGGAAGATGTCAGAGTCTGAACGGCTTGGAAGGCAGACAGGCGAGATGGTTTGGGAGAAATTTACAGGCTCCTCCAGCCTCACCAATGCAATATCAGCGCCAAGCCCAAGTCCAGCAAAATATGGATGCACTATAATCCGGCTGACAGCAGATGAGACCATGCTGGGCGCAGGTTTGGCCAAATCGTATTCCCCCAAGTTGATTTTGTACTCAGGTAGGTTCAGCAACCTATGGGAGATAAATAACAATAAGTGTCTTCCACTGCAGGAATGCCTGAGTTCAATTCCTTGCTCGGCAAACTGGGGTTCAATAGGAAACTTTTGGGATGACACCGTACTGGTTTGCCCGATCACCACAACTCATTTACTTAAATCTCAGTAGGTTGCAGTGTGTGCTGGTGGCCATTCCAAATATTCAACCTCCAGTGGGAGGTTCCCATGGGTTCCAGTGTTATCCGAACCCAGGAAGCATGGCTTGTGGAAGGGAAAGACTAACCTCCAATAGCACTATAACAGGCCGGGCTACATGGTTATTGGAGGGATGTTTTGACACTCAGGGGGTGTCACACAGAGGTGGGTAGAGACCTCCCCTGCAGAGGAAGGCAGGACGCACTCCAACGGAGCCAAGCTCAGGGAACCCAGGTTCCATTTAGATGCCAGGAAGCACTTCCTGACAGTTAGGACCCTGAGGGTATGGAATGGGCTTCCACGGGAGGTGGTTGAGGCCATTCGGTGAGGTTGTTCAAGGATAGGCTAGACATGCACATGGTGGGCATGTCGTGAGCAGAGCTGACTGGAGCCGGGGGTCAGACTAGATGGCCTGGGAACCCCCTTCTGACTCGCTCTGTTCCTATGTTTCCATGCTGGCAAAGGTCAGATGACATGACAAGCCAGGTCCTGAGTTGGCCATGAGGGGCTGCAGTGAGCATGCAAATCAGGTCACTGTCACACAGCATAATCTACCTCACTGGGTTATTGGGTGGCTCGGGTGGTTTCAGAACTGTCCAACCCTTTGTACACTGAGAAAAGGACTACACCTGCCAGGCTCCAATTTGGAAGGAAGTCCCACTGACTTCAGTGGAATTCTTTTCCACAGGACCAAGGTTAGCATTTCACATTGAAGCTGATAAATCAAGATCATTCTAATGATTACAAAATAGCATTGCACTGTTAATGGTACTTATGTAGTGCCTTTGCTACATCTTCTAAATGCTCAATTGATAGTTAGTGCTTATGTAGCAGTTTACTTCCTTGCAGTAGGGAAGCTGCTTACACGACTGCTGCGAGGAGCAAATGGGCAGAGATGCAGAGGGCTGAGGGGTTGCCCCAAATTCTCAGACCCCTGAGGGCCAGCCAGTGGGCATACAAGCCACCTAGCAGAGTGCCGCAGCCACTTTTACATCTGCGGGATTAGTGACACTAACCTACAGAATGATTACTGGGTTAAACACATCCCGTTCCCTGACACTGTCCATGTAGCACCCTCTAGTGGTGCACTGGAGTTTGCAGTCATTTCTGAAGAGAGCAAAGCAGTGTTTCTCCAACCCAATCTGTTCTACTCACCCTTCAAAGCAATGAGCAGCTGTCAGCACCCACTGGGATGAAATCAGGCTTCCACCACATATGTGTAACCTGTTCTTTCGCACGCTGACCTGCCAGGGCCATTCTCCTTCGTCAGCCTTCTTCCCCCCAATGATCCGAGAGGAGAACATGTGGGGATAGCCACAACCTGCCGAGGAACCAGGAGAGGCGTGAGACACGGAACAGTGCGGAGGTAAGTTCGGGATGAATAGCTGCCTCTGTGCTGCTCCACTGCCATTCCGAAGCAGATGCCAGCCACACAAACTGCTGCGGCAAAGTCTCTCGATCTGCCAAAGGTTGCACTGCTGCCATGGCAGCAGCGTTGCAGGATGCACCTGGCACGTGCTGGCAGCGTTTCTCCTCAAAGCCAGGGTAGAGGAGAGGGGTTGCAGGGGGAAATATCTGTCTGGCTAGGAGAAGATACTCAGTTCCCCAGGTAGGCAGAAAGGCTGCATTTTTTCACTTACTCTTTCCAAATGCACTTAGAAGGGCCTGCTCGGCATACATTTTGGATCGTGGCTTTTCCATATTAAATCAGATGGCTTGTCTGCTTGCAAAGTCTAATCCTCATGACATACGCCATAGAAGCTGTGGCACTGGGCAGATGCTGGTATTATGCAGACTGAGAGTTGTGTAGTATAGTGAGTAGAGAATTTGCCCCAGGCTCCAGAGATCCGGGTTCTAGTCTCCACCTGGCCAGGAAGCTCAGAGGGTGGCTTTGGGCCAGTCCCTGACGCTTAGCCTAAGCTACCTCACAGGGCTGGTGTAAGAATAAAATAGGGAGAAGGAGAATCTTGCAAGAAGAAAAAGGCAGGGTATAAATGTAATATTAATAGAAGAACAGGATGGACAAAGAAAAGTACATATATGTGAAAGAATGGATGATGGACAAATGGACAAAAATGTATGCAAAATGCAAAATATGATTATACTGATACACAGATGCCTGGAGTTTAAAGATGCTTCCAGACTCTTATTGGCCAGTCACTCTGCAGACCTGACAATGTAGTTTTCTGTTTGCAACCCTCCACTACTGTTTTTCTACTACTTCTTCCATCTTTCTTCTTTTCTTGTCTTTTTTTTTTCTTTGACCTCTGAAAATTCATGAAGGAACCAAAGACAGCATACTTGTCCAATGCCTTTTGACTAGCAGCACTAGGAGCCATCAATCCGGAAGCAGCCTAAAAATCAGGGCAGGCCATTCATGTAAACAGTTAAAAACAAAATTAAACAAGTCAACAGCTACTGTGGGCAGAAAGAGATGTGCAAGTTTTGCTAGAGGGTGAAAGGAGTGAACAAATAGTTTGAGGTGTATGTTAAATATTAAGGAACATTCCAGGAGAGTAAATCAGTTATACATGTGGAAATACTAACATTTATGGGAAAGGACCAACTTAGAGGGAAACCTAAAGCACTTCTCTCCAGAGCTAATTTGGACTATAGAGCACATGAATTCAATGTGCCCAAGCCCCATACGCTGTGTAGCATCCACAAACAACCAATTTGGGTTTCCCTTCTCTTCTATATGGCAGACACAGGGAAAAGAAAGAGGTTTCAGTTGGTTAGATAGAGGGATCCTCTTGTGAGTATGGGGAAAACAGAAGCATTGGCGATGGATCCCACCTCATTGTGGGATCCAGCTGTCCCTTGCAAGGCATTTTTCCTCACCTCTTTGAGCAGAATTATTTTCAGCACCTGCAAGAGAAAATGAGAAGGATCCAACAAAAAGTCAGGTGGTGGTTTTATTGGAAGGTGGAGATGGGGCTAAGTGGTTTTACCCTGGTGAATCCAATATGTTCTATAATGAGCCTGCAGGAATTCCAGACATGACCTGTGGCAAAAGATCACCATGCCTAGAGCGTGGCAGGTCTAAGGAAGCCCCTAAATGCAAAAGAGGGCTGCTAACGGTAAATTTCTTGTCCAGCTCTGCATTGGATCAATTCTGGGGAAGGGTGATGATCAGCAAAGCCCCAGTATTGCATTATCTAAACAGCAACAACAGAGAGGGAACACAATCTCCCACATCACATAGAGACAGCCAGCTGAGAATTTGCCATGAGAGCTTTCATACAAGAAAACCCAGAAATATCATGCATTTCATGGACAACAGAAATCAAGATCTTCCCAGATTCCAACCTCTGGATTCCCAATTTACACATTCCTCCCTAATTGCACATATATTTTCAAAATTAGGTTATAACCCACTGGCATTCTTGCTGGATCCAAGATCTGTGCATCAGGGGGAAATTGACGAAATTGACTGGATAAACCTTCTCCATCATGGCCATAACAAGCTTAGAAAGAAAGATAGTTCCTACCGAGCATTTGCCGATTGCACAGCAATTAGTAAAGCATGATTGCCAGAGGAATAAAGTAGTACTTAGAACTGGGAGCAAAATGTACTCTGCTCCAAGCATCACAAATTTACCCAGGACTTTTGTGCAGTTCCCAGCTCAACCTCCTAACTCCCAGTGAGCAGCCTGCTCAAATTTACTAAACTCAATGCCCTTCCATCTTTGCACAAAACCCAGGAGACCTGGTTCCTGGTGCATCCTCTTTCACAGTGAGAGCCCAGAAAATTAGGCTGTGCAGTTTCTAGGGCCCCGTTATGGTCCTCAGACCTCCACAAGAATCCTTGTTCTCAGATCCTTCCACCTCATGCCCACCAGACCCCAAGTTCCTAGATCTTCACTTCACTTGACAGCTTAGGTAAAGCACAAAACAATTGCTAGCTCTGGATGACTCATGCCTAAACAAACCTACTCATACACACACACACACACACACGCTCCCATGTGGCTTACCTCTCAGCAATAGCAGAAGCACCATCTGAGAACAGCAGAGACTCAACATGGTCCAGGCAACCTGAGATAATCCAGCTCTGGTGGCAACCATGGAAGGAAAGAGAACAGAGTGCTGGGCTCATCTGATTATGCCAAGCTTTCTTTACAAGGACAGGTTCACGACCAAGAGGGCAGCAGGTTGGCACTGCCAAGCACAAAAGCCACTGAGCTAAGCCAAAGCTGTTGGGTAGCATAGTCCACACCCTCAGTCACCCGATGGAGCCAACTCAGCTGCTCCTTCCACCACTGGGAGGGCAAAACTCCCAAACTCTCTCCAGCCCCACCTCTGTCTCTAGCCGGCAAGTAGTGAACTTTGACTTGAGTACATCCAAGGTAGGAGGGTGGGTGTGAGGATGTGAGAGAGAATTCATGGGGTTATCATATAACAGCCTGATGTTCTCCAGATGTGTTGGATGGCAACTGCCAGCATCCCCAGCTTGCTGGGAGCTGTAGAGCACTAGGTGGCATAATTAAAAATTTCCAGGGATTCTGCTTTTCACAACTATGCAGAACATTTTAGTGATTGCGGTTTGTAATTCAAGAGAGAACAGAAATCTGCACCCACTGGAACTATCACTTCAGCGTTTTGGAAGAACAACACTCTTTTGTTTCCAGACACACTTTGAGGTACCCAGAATGACCCTGAAATGGAGCAGGAGCTGACTTTGCAAACGGAGCACTGCAGACCTGCTTCTACAAATGCTCAAAGACTGGTGCTCAAAGTGCCAGAGAAGGAGGGAAGGAGGCCAGTTGGAATCAGTGTTAAGTCCAGGACCTCCATCTTCTCCTCCTTCATCTCCTCCTCTCACCCCAGCATGTCCCTTTTTTTAACTCCTCCAATGCCCGGTTTTGACCCGAGGGAGGCAGCCAGTGTGATGTCAGGGAGGCAGTAGGATTGCGATACTTTCAGGAGAAAAATACAGAATATCTGGATTTGATTGGTAGCTCTAGGAGTTTTTGTCTGGGGGCTTTTCTACATCATGTGTTCACCATTCTCTGCTCATGGTAATTTACAGGTTCTTTAGTCATATCATGCCCTTCCAATTTTGCTTTGGTTAACCAGCACTTTCAGCAAAGTGTGTTTAGGGCCAAGATAACATGGCATTTACCAAAAAAAGAGAAAGGAAATGTGACTTCCGCTTGAGTATGTGTACTACTCTGCCATGCCACATTGGCACCTAGAGGTTACTTCTAGTAAAAGAACGAAAGGAAATGTTATAGCCACGGTGCTCAAATGGAACCAGCACTGGTAGCCAGGTCTGCCCAATTCAGTGGGCTTCATGCCAGGTCTGCCACCACTCATTCATCGAATCTGTCACAAATGGCACACCTGTTCTTTGATGCCAGCTATCCGGGTATATATTTTGCCCCCTTCCTCATCACCACAACAATCCAGTAGACATCCATGACTTTGTTCTTGTTTCTGTTCCTTCCTTCTTTAATAGAGCTACTTCCAATTGGGCAAGCAGGATCAATAAGAAGAAACCAGAAACCAGAAAGAAACCAAATTTAGACTAGACACTGGGAAGAATTTCTTTACTGTCAGAGCAGTATGACAATGGAACCTCTTACCTGGAGAAGTTATGGGTTCTCCTTTACTAGAGACATCCAAAAAGCATCTAGACAGTCATCTGAATGGGATGGTGTAACTTAGTGGCCTGCAACAGCAGGGGGTTGGACCCAGTGGTCTTCTGGTCCCTTCTCAATCTACTATTCTATCATTCTATAAAGATGGTAACAGAGAGAACATTCATAGAGCAACAAACTTCTTCAAAGGTCTCCTACTTAAAGCTCAGCCCACAAAGCCCAACATGGATCCAAGCTGATCTTGAGACAGGATGGCTTCTCTGAAGTACAGTGGGTGAGGCTGATGCAAGTCACAAAAGGATTCCAGTCCAGATCAGGAGAAGGAGCAAATGGAGCAGAAGCTCTGTGACCACCAAGGGTTACATTCTGTGCCACAATGTGCTGAATCCAATTGATGAAGGGGATGTCCTGAGTGCAGATCACAGGGCACAAAGGTGAACCCATACCATGTTCATCAGGTGGCCCTAGCAGTAGAGAAGGCCTATCTAGAGAAGGCCTATTGGGGTGCTTCCATGGTCTCCTGTTGGCAGCCCCTCCCGTGCAGGGAGACTGACAGGCAAAAAAAGTAAGCCTTTCTGCCCTTTTGTCAAGCAGCTCCATGGAGTTTGAGGATTTACCTGGGCTTGTTGTGCCATCTCAGTCTGGAGAATACAGCAAGCCCAGGAATGGCCACAAAACCAATGACAAGCCATGGTTTGTTGGGGCGGCTTCAAGGACACAGAGAAGCCATACCAGGGGAAGTCTGGACCACAAGCTAAGCCCTCGGGGCTTTAATGCCTTGATGACAAAAGTCCACATCTATGGTGCCCAGGTTCTCCAGTTTCTAGAGCCCCTTCCTATGACTCACTGCCATCCTAAAGCATCCATGCCCAGGTCCTTCAGCTCAAATGTCCCACACCCATCTCTTCTCCCATTGGACCCAGAGATGATCAGAACTGGTAATCCAGATGGGGCACAGAACAATTGCCACCTCTAAAGAAGGACAATGAGGCTTGTTCCCACAGCCCTGGATGCGCTCCACACACACACGGCAACCAAGATGCACACACAGAGCTCTCCTGGTGGCTCAGCCCTTTTCAACAGGAGCAGCCACATGACCTGGGAACAGCAGGAAGTCAGCCTAGTCTGGAAGACAACCTAGGATGAACCTGCTCTGATGCTCACTAGGGAAGGATTGAGAAGAGATAGTTGGGCTGGGATGCTGAAGCTGAGAGGCGTCTTTCTCAGGGTTGACACATGACAAAAGAGGCCACCTCTTGGTGTTGCTTTTACTATCAGAAAGGCCACCCACAAGCTAGACCTGAGCAGGTGAGTCCTGTCCTCCGCTCCTCAGCCCCAGGCAGTCAGCACAGCATAGATTTATCTCAGCTGCCTATTTTCCCTACCAGGAAGGCAAGTCCCCCTCCTGGTTTCTCTGCCTGCCTTCATCACGAGCTATGAAGAGGGAGATAACATGTAATATTTTCACCACAGAGATCTGCCAGGCAGGCCCCTCCTCTATTAATCTTCAGGTAATTTCTGAAAGCCATCATTTTGTTTCAGCACATCCTCTGTTTGCACTTCTACACTTCCTATTGCTAAAGGTACATTCAAGCCAGCGACCTTCTATTCGGACATCTCAGCCTCCCACTTCCTCAATTTGCTGCGTGTTAAGAGCAGGCCGAAGAGAATTCGGGCACATCGTTGCCATGGGACTAACCTACAGGGACTCTCTCCTGCATCAGCCAGACCTTGCCCGACTAAACCGACTGATCACTTCTCATTGGCGGATATTTTTATGAACAGTTTCTGAGATTAGACATTTCTTTCACAGGAAGAGACGAAAGAGGACTGGGACTTAAATGTACTTGAAACCGAGACACCTGCCTGGTAATCCCCTGTGCACAGAGGCTGAGCTGTGGTTACTCACTGCCAAGGGCAGGCGCATTTACCATGCACAGAGCCATCTTCTTCTCTCTCAGGATCTGAAACAGGCTCCACATTATTCACCAGGCTTCCCTGTTCACATCCTACTCAGCTGGGAATTCACTGGGTGCCCCTGGGCAAGGCACTGGTGAATAAGTGCCTTATTAGGCAACACCAGTCTCCCCAAACTGCTTTTCTAATATGATGGCAACAAATTGCTCTACTTCCTTCTTGTCCTCAAAACCAGGAATGAGATAATATACAGGTATTGGCAATTAGCTTTAAAGCCCTTCATGGCTTGGGTCCAAAATACCTTCAGGAGCACCTCTGCTCATATATTCTGCCTCACCCCAGTACAGTCCTTTGGGGATCACCTTCTGAAGTGGGCTTCCTCACGATTAACATCAATGCCCAGAGAATTTTCTCAGTGGTCACCCCTAAACTGTGGAATGGCCTGCTGGAAGAGATGCATCATATATATCCCAGACTATTACCTTCAAGAGGGAGCTGAAGACATCTCTTCCAACAGGCTTCCCAAATTCATTTTATTTAATATGCTTGTTTTTGGCCTAAATTTGAATTGTTGTTTTTAATTTCTCGTAAACCACCCAGAACCTATGGGAATGGGGCAATATCTAAAGACCAACATAGATAAATAAATTGAATGCAAAGTGTGTCTGAACTTACAGTCTAAAATGTTATCTGAATACAAAAAATTGTATTGTCTGAACTTACAGTCTAAAATGTTATCTGAATACAAAACATTGCATCAAACCTTGAAGCAAGGCTGTTAGCTCAGAGTTAGCCTTGATCTGTTCTGTTCCATATTTAGACCATCAAAGCACAGCTGCTCTGTGTCAAAATCCAACATGTAAACACTCTGGTAGCTCCCTCAGTTTAAGCCCAGCTTCCATCCCTTCTTTCCTAGACTTTGATCCACATCTCAGCTACTAAGGTGGAAAGTTCCCAGTTTCCCTTAGCTTGAGGTTCAAGAGATTCTTTATGGTGTAATTTGGCAGGTCTTGTCAGGGAGTGGCCAATTCTTGGACATTCAGACTCAGTTATTTGCACTGGCTCTGGGATTATGAACTTAGAGATATAAAACAGAGGATGTTTCCCTAGGGGGAGGGAATGGAAATCTAGGGGTACTAAAAAAAAAAAAAAAGCCTTGTGCAGTACTTTCTCTTTTAGGACCTAACTAGACATGATGTTAATTGTGTGAATATAATTAACACACACTTTTCTGTAATGGAAAGCCAGTGAAAGCTTGCCTCCAGATGCCAAGAGTGGCAGGGGGCGAGTTTTGTCAGGACCACTGCAGAGTAGTAAATAATTAATCTGTCCCTCCTGGGATTTCCAATGTAGCTCATTCCCCTCAGCCACAGCTGCTGATTAGATGTCAAAAAAAGTGTACTCTAATTGCATTAACATAATTAACACACTAATATCCAAGGGTGTATCAAGGCAAAAAAGAAAAGTATTTCCCCAGTTTGTGAAAATGCTAAGTATAACTTAAAT